AGTAAAGACACTGATTTTATGTTAGAAGGTATAACATATTTTGTCTTTTAACTACAACTCTCCAGTCAGTTGCTAATTACCCTTGACAAAAATGTTAATTATGCACCGGTGTATTTAAAATGCTAGATGGTGCAGAAAGGTTGAGCCTTGAAGATAAACCAGAAATCGATGTACCTAAACATGAAGCTGCTTCTTATCTCACAGGTACACCACATCCTTTCATCACCAATGTCATCCAGTAATTACAACATCCAATTATTCAAATAATTTCCTGTACATTATGTAATAATTGAAATTAATATATTTAATTTGGTAGGTATCTTAAAAAAATTATGTCTGAAGAAGAAAAGCCCAAAACATCTATGATGGAACAAGTAGCTTTTCTACAAGGAAGGTATACTATTGTCATAAGGTTTTAATCTCAGCCACCTATCCGTTAAAACATATTTTCCATTCTAAAGTGAAATAATAATAACAAGCTTACCTGTGTAAATTAGGTGAAGTCCTTGAAAAGATGTTACTAGATAAGAAACCCAAAAGCACCGTACCAAACCTAGATGCTTCTTCTAAAGTAAAAGGTATACTATCACTCTAACCTCATCAATCATGACCATCCTGCTATTAGCATACATTGCAATAGAAATTTAAAAATCTTTAACTTGGTAGGTCTCCCAAATGGGCATATGCCTAAAGGAATTCACAACATTTCTTTATTCAAATCAAAATATGCTTCACACAAGCAAAGTGCTTTCTCATCATCATCACTTTTTTGCATACCAGTTTTGTACCATTATTGAAATATATGTCTAAACAATATAATATAATCAGCGCCTATATCTACATTAGACAACAAAACAAAACCTCTAACTCTGGAAGAAAATATACAAGCTTCAAAACCTAAAAAAGTCAAGTTAGTCTCCCACAAACCCAAGGTATGTTGCAATCGATCTCCATCCCCACAATTCAACCAAGTACTTATCACTCTAAATCTCTTAGAACAATCCATCAACATATTCTTTCATATTATGTAATACACATTTGTTTCCATTAAAGCCAGCTTATGTTAGCATCAATATCAAATTATATAAACCACAAGGTTTTGCGAAGAACCAAGTGGTTGGAGATAAGCATCAAATTGATGCACTGGAAATTGAAGAAGATCATATTATTTTAGAAGGTATTTTAAAATATATTTTATTATCATTATTTCCATTAAGTAATAATAAATTTTTCATCCAGCAATTAACAACAGAGCAGATATGTTGGACTGTTCATACATTTCATGCCTATACTGTAAGACAGATAATCAGTCTTATGAATAAGATACTCATAATTTTTTTTTCCTAAGGGCTTCTCATTAAATCACTCTTTTGATTTTAGTCCACCATTTACTAAATGCTCTACATAACATTTACAGTAATAAATGTATTTTTTTCAATAGATTTCCAAAAAAGGCATACCCCCAGGGATAAACCACAAACTCTTTTATCTAAAAGAGAAGTTACTTCTTATGAGGAAGGTAATTAAACAACATTTTTTCTGTAATACCGATCAGCAACCCATTTTACACATTGGGAACTGCTTTAATGATACTTTATGAAATGTCTTAATTAGTTGAGGTGCGAGAGGGGCTGAGTCTTAGCAAGAAGCCAGAAATGATTATACTTAAAAAAGAAGTCACTCATAAGAAAGGTATAGGATTCTTGTATGTTTATAGTATACCTAGCAATTATAATTTTTAATAGCTGGACAATTACTAATTTTGAACTAATATCTTTAGTATTTGATGAACAAGGGAAGCTTGTCCAAGGAGAAAAAATAGTCACTGAACCAAGAGAAGCTGATGTCCATATTGAAGGTATACTCATATATTATGTAGCTAACAGAAAATCTGCCATAAAATATACCAGAATAATTAAGCAGTGTAAAACTAAACTTTTTAGAAATAGAGGTCCGAAAAGGGCTGATTCCTGAAGGCAAGTTGCAGATTGCTGCTAAAGCTACTCTTGAAACTGGATATCATTATATTGAAGGTGTATTTATACAGACTGCACAATAATTTCTAGTATTATTGTAGATTAATAGTTAGCATACAGGTAAATATTAATACAAGCTAATATCTTTAAAGAGCTGGAGAATCAGACAAGACAGACACCTGAAGAAGAGCCAGAAACTGCAGCACACTTACCCAGAAGAGATGCAAAGGCAATCAAAAAAGGTAGATCCACATAGCTCCTAGCTGAAGAAGCTTAGTCATTTATATATTCATTGTTGATTTTTGATACATACTAATCCTAAACTAATATCTTTAAAGCAACAGTTGTTCAGGAAAGGCCAATAACTAAAGAAAGACCAACAATAAGTGTACCAGAGAAAAAAGTTGTTATGGATCAAGAAGGTATATGAGATTTTCTTTGTCATTTTATCATAACCATTAACAATCTCTATGAGTACATTTTGAACTCAAACTAATATCTTTAAAGAGGCTGCAAGACAACAGGACTCTGAAGACAAGATTCTAATTTCTTTGCCTGAAAAAGAAGTTATTTTTACAGAGAAAGGTATATTATTGTGAAATTAAAACTTCACTAAAGGACTATCTTAACACTATAAATAATCATGTTTTAAATGGGGAAATTAAAAAAGGAGTACCTTAAAATGCCTTTGAGCCCCGAACAATGAGAAATTACTAATGAAATGCAGTATATGTTTTGTTCTTTCTGTCTCCCTTTTTGTGTTGTCTTGTAATAGTTAAGTTACAAAATTGTTATCTTTAAAACAGTGGAACTGTTACAACCAACACCACTAAAAGAAAAAGCACCTACTACCATAATCAAAAAAGAAGTGAAGCCTCCTGCTGAAGGTAGTTCATCTTCTTACTTCAATTATATATATCAGATCAGTGTTTAGTGTGTCATGGAAAAATAATTAACACAAAACTATTTTTAAAGTGCCTGCTGCTCCAAAGAAACCAATACAAGAGCAGAAACCAGCTATTCCTGTTGCTAAAAAGGAAGTAATAGCTCCTCCTGAAGGTATATCTTCATGCTGTCACAATGTTTTGTCTGTCATAATATATGTAGTCCATGTATACTAAAGTTAGACTACTCTTTAGCTGAAGTGAGTAAGAAGCCTGTTCCAGTGGAGAAGCGCTTGCCTGTTACTAAAAAAGAGATTGTCCCTCCTGTAGAAGGTACATATATAGTAGTTATTAAGATCAGTTATTAAGAGTAAAAAACTAATATCTTTTTAAATATCAGCTGTCAAATCCTGTTGTCTACTTCACTGATATTTTGTCTGTCTGTAATGTTGAAAATCTAACAACAAATTAATATCTTTAAAGAACCCACAGTGTTGCCAGCAAAACCAATTTTAGAAGAGAAAAAAAACTGTCATAGTTCCCAAACAAGATGTAGAACCTTCCATGAAAGGTATACAACCTTTAATGTTCTTTTTTCTTTCACCTTATGATTGTACAATTTTTACAAAATATACCTAAAATGAAATATTTTAAAAAACCTTAATGTAAAATAAATTTTTTAGATGTACAAAAGAAAGCAGTCACAGTTGATAAACAATCAATTTATGAGCCTACTGAGGAGGTACCTTCTGTAAAAGGTATATTATAAAGCTTCAATTTAGATTTATCTTTAGTATGTTAAGCTAATTAGTAAACAAAAGTTTGAAACAATTATCTTTTAAAGTCCCAACACAACAGAAAAGAGCTACTGAGGGAAAAACATCCATTCGCTTAACTAATAAAGACACCGTTCCAGGTATAATATATAAAAATATTATAGAATTTTTTACAATTTTTAATTAGTTTTTTTTCTTACATTAAATCATTTTAATATATTTTTAAGTGCCTGATGAGAAGCCTACCCTTGAGGAGAAACCTTATGTAAAAGTTCCTCCTTTGCCAGGTACTTAACATGAATATATTGTAGATTCAATTTCTGTTAAAAAATAATGAGTATGAGTGGGTGTAAATATGAATATATACCATAATATTTTTAAGTGGCAGACATTGTAAAACCAACTACATCAGTTGAGGAAGTACCTGTGATTCTATCTGAAGAAGGAGAAGAGGAATATGAGCTAGAGGATGAAGGTATAGGTCTAGTATCATTGTTAATCATCCTTTCTTCAAACATTCATCACGTGATTTTTCAAGCTTTTTGGAAAAATATGTTTATGGTTTTCTTTATACGTATAAATTGTGAAGTAATCATATGTTCTGAATATTCCAAGAAACTCTGATTTTAAAAAACTGACTTTTTAAGTCTAACTTTATAGACTATAATATGGAATTCATCACAAAACATTCCTCTTTATGTCCAAATTCTTTTCATAGAGATATACTTTCTGAATGTCAACGTTACATTCTTATTGCACTCTTCTTTTTGTCGGTCTTTGTCTGAGTTGGTTTGTTTATCTGTAAAGGCATTGTTTGTCGTGTCCGTATTCATATTCTTTACATATATCTTCATGTGTAAATCAAGAGTGGGTGTTTTTAAATCAGTGGCTTTGTTCTTTGCTAAACAATGAAATCCTGTTCTTTTAAGATTATGAATTTGAGGAGACAACTATTAAGACACCATATCCCCTGAAAAAAGAGGAGACTTTTAAAATCGAAGGTATTAGGGATTTTACTATCAAAATTAATATCATACTTGCCATTACCAACCATCATTACATAAAATGCAGGCTTAGCATGAATACTCTGTTTATGTTATATGTCTTTGTTTTTATCATCTGTATGTTCTTGCTTGCAATAGTTCCAATTTTTTATAGGTGCTTATTCATCTAGAACCGTCATTGATTTCACCATTCATTTTTTATAACCTCCCATTTCATTTCATCAGTCATTGCTCACTAAGTCTCATTATCTTGTGTGTGACATAATCTTTACAGATTACTTTCAAACAGGTTATTCTTGCACTTTCCTCAAAGAAATCTAAACTTTAAATTTCACAAAGTAGTAAATATCCCCTTATTTTCTTCAAAGTTCCAGTGGACAAAAAGAAGATTATGCCTGGAAAGCCAACTCCATCTGAGCCTGAAAAAGTGGAACTTAAGCCTTCCAAAGGTAGAACATTTTATAGATTATATCTGCAGAAGAGAACAAATAATTATAATTGACTTATTGATTGTGAGCAGCAAGCCATATTTATTATCAGGTTTCTTAGAACTCTTTTTAGCCTGTCTGTCTATTCAGTATCAGTACAGTATATGTGTGTGTATTTATACTATTAATGTAAACAATATATTGTCTAAATACTGTATTTAATTAAAAAAAAAAAATTTTGCTAACTAATTGACATCCTGTATACTAGCTTAAGAGAAAAATTCATTAGGCCTAAACACAGGTTATCATAAGTAGTTTTTGGAGTGTAGATATTTACTGTATATAGTGGCACCCAAACATGTCTGGTAATCAACAAAACTCTAATAGCTGCAAAAATAATGTAGGAGGCAAAATTACTCCAACGTAGTTGAAACCTCTATATAGTTAATGTGTTATAATATATACTATATATTATAATATTATTTTAATAAGTTGTGTATATAGTAAGTTAACTCCAGATATAAATCTATGTTTTTTTAAGTACCTGAACCAGAAAAGAAAGTTATCCCTAAACCTAAACCAGGAATTCCACCTCCTAAAAAAGAAGAAATTAGTTTTAAGAAAGGTATATTAGTGTATTCCTATTATAGTATTCCAGCTTTTTAACTATGGAATCTGCTACTAAAGTATTAATCATTGTATGCATTGTTCCACTTAATGTTTTAATAGTTAAGTTGAATAACACGCAAAGGCAAACACATGTATTTTTCAATTATGCAATCAAGACAAAGCAAATAATTTGCCATAATTCAACAGGCTTGCTTAAAGACAGAGTAATATTTAATAATAGCTTAACAGGATTTTTAAAATATAATTGAACAACTACTAATAGAAACTTTTTTTTTAACTGGGGGGAGTTTACTAGCAAATCGCTATAATGTTTACATAATATGCCTCAAAAATGAAAACAATTAATACACAACTGCGTTAACATAAAAAGCAAATAAACTTAGTAAAAAGTCTGTTTTTGTGTATTATTTGTCTTTTAAGTTTTTTTAAAGTGCCAAAGTCTTTGAAGGTCGGTGTTGTGTGTTTTGTCATGTTTGATGCTTTACGCTCTGGAATGTGATGTATTACAACATCATGTATCTTTAGCAGTCCAGAGTGAAAAAAACAATTCTTTGTCTTAAAGTTCTAAAACCAGTCAAAAAAGAAGGTGAAGAGCCTCCTGCTGAGAAAACCAACTGAAAAGGTTAAAAAGCTTGAACCTCCAGTGGAGAAAAGGCCTGAAAGTAAGTAACTAATGGATTATCTTGATAATACTGTGAACAGTGCTTTCTTCTTTATTAAGCCTTGTGTGTTTTGTGTACCTCTTATCTGTGAACAATATGTAAGCACGTCCATGTAGAGTTGCTTTGTAAATTGTATTAGTTCTGTATTATTGTTATATGTTTAATGTTAAAAAAAAAAACATTTTGCACAAGGTAAGTCCAATGGGCCAGATTATAAAAATCAATATTATTTTTAAGTTCCTGAAGTCCAGAAGAAAAAGTTACCAGAGGTCACACCAGCTGTGAAAAAAGAGGAAATAAAGCCTGAACCAGCTAAAGGTATATGCATTATGGGATTGCCTGCTATTTGGACAACTGGCTAATCCTCCTTAAATGAAGTGTGGCCTAAGACATAAGAAAAAGCTCAATTGTCATTTTCTTTGTGTTAACCATTATCCTTAATTGCTCTAAACTGAACAAAAAGAAATCTTCACTAAAAAAGTCTTAAATCATGTCTCTCTTTGGTATTGAATAAAATGTGTATTTCACTAACTATATTAATTTTTAAACACTATACCTCACTAATGAACCTATGAACAAATCTATCACTGTTGCATATAACTGAATTAACCAGTCATAATATATTTAAAGTTGCAGCAGAAGCTAAGCCTTCACCGGTGTCTGTGTCCCCAAAAGAACCATCACCTGTACAAGGTAGGATTCATTATTATAGGAAGCCAGCGGCTTTTTTAACCATAAAAGTTATGCTTCTATCCATCTTACTATTGCTCACATAATAACATCAGCACAAACATCAGTAATGTTCTTTTACCCATTGTGACTGACCAGAAAATAGCTTTCAGTGGGCAAATTCATTAAAACTGGTTTCTGATAGGATGCCACTGAATAATGCATATATATGCTTTGTACAATGCCATCAATCTAATAACTAAATACAATAAATTGGAAATGTATTTTGCAAGTACAGAACTTATGCATAGTAACATTAGGTATCATGTTCAATAAACATTAACGTACTTTAAATTAATTTCAATTTAAAGCTGTTCCATCACCAAAAGGAGATGAAGCTGCAGTTACAGCACCAGTTACAACTCCAGTTGTTGGAAAGAAAACAGGTACATGTTCTGTGTTGTTTGTTTTAAATTCAGAAAATATAAAGCAAGTTCACAATGATAAACAAATACTCACGTATGTAAGTATATATTCCTGAAATCTTTATTTGGCTTGAAGTGGCTTCATGGTAAATATATAAAAAGTTGTGATGTTACTACAGTATATTTTGCCTGTCGTCCAATATACTTTTGAGATCATATGAAACGATATTTTGTCATTAAGAATTAAATTATGTTTCATTATAAAAACATTATAAAAAAATATGTGTTTTGCAAGTGGCCCTAAGTTTCCATGGGTCCATGTTGTTACTTCAATTTCCTGCCTATAAAGTGAACCTGTTATTTGCTCATATAGAACAAAGAAACAGGTTTACTTAAATGCTGGCCCCACTTCCCCCTCCCAGTTGCTTATAGTTACCCTTCCTTTGCTTCCTCATTGCTCAATTTGGCCAGCTGGAGTATAAAGAAAAATATGGTATTTCTATGAATGGGAAGCATGTGGCGCACTCCGCTTCCTCCCATACGCTTGTGGAACTAAGACTAAAGTCTAGTACACACTACAGTACTAGTTTTATTTTGTTCAACCCACGGGGTTTAACAAAAAACTTACAGCTCAGAAGGAGCCGTTGTACTAACTATCCAATGTTAATAAAGCAATCTCCCCTGCTGTGCTATTGTGTTCTGATGGGGGGACGGCCCCCTGCCATTGGCTGAGAGTGCTGATCAGGAGCCTATCAGCAGACCTTTTTTGCTCATGCCCCTTTGACAGAACGCTCAGTTTCTGTCAGACCGGCTGCCATACACATGAGCCAAATGATGGCCAGTTTTTCTATTGAACCAGCTGATGCCACCCAACATTCAGCCTTTGTATACTAGGCTTAAGTGTTTGTTTACATAGCAAGATAATAGAGAAGTCAGTGGTTGATTACTGTATTTTTATCTGTGCTGTTTTGTGCCTGATGCTTGGGTACTGTGTTTTTCTTTTTCTTTGTATGCCTTTTTGTGTATGTATGGATTTAAAAGTGTATGATTATTGTGGTTGTCTTTTTTTTGTACAGTAATGTTTGTATATGTTTTTCTTGTATAGATTTTGTGTTTGGAATATCACTAAGTGTATGTGTGTACCTTTACATTTGCTTTATGTTTTGAATTGTGTTTTTTGTATACAGTCTTGAATAAAAATGATACAAATCTTACTTTTTAAAATTAAATGTTAAACCTTTGTAGTCGCAGAGAAACCCGGTGTGCCAATAAAGATAATGCAAAAAGGTAAAATACTGACTGAAGAAAGCAAAGTGGAAGCAGTTCGGAGAGTGCCTTTTTTCTCTGGTGACATTTTTATTTCTCTTGAAGAAGATGTAAGCATTAAAGCAGAAAGATTATTTACAGATGTAATTGAAGAGAAAAAAAAAAGATTTTTATAAAGGAAGAAGAAAAGATTCATGTAATTTCCAAGGAAAAGATTTTTGAACAACAAGAGTCTGAAGAAATTATTGAGTATACTGAAGAGATTACAGAAAGGGAAGGTAAAGGTGAACCAAACAAATATTCAAAAACAAAAGTTATAGTAGAGGAGAAGAAAAGATATAAACCAGCTAAGATTTATGTTGAAGAAGAACAAGAGGAAAGAGATACATTTTACCAGACTGAAATTGAAATTAAAGGGCCTCAGAAAGGTATTACACATGAAAAAGATTTGGTTGACATAGTTCCTGAAAAGCCAGGCACCAAAATAAAGCCAAAATTAGATGTAGTGGGCAAAGAAAAGAAAATACCCAAAAAGAAAAAAGATAAAGAAATTATTGGTGTCTCACCAGAAGAGGCAGCAGAGAAAATGAAAGATGGTAAAATGGAAAAGAAGAAAATTTCTCAGCATAAACTCACTATTTCTTCTGGGGAGGAGGAAGACAAAGTAGAATCTAGTAGTGCCGCAAGTGATGAAGAATTAGAGGACTATGAGGAACAAATTGAAATACCAACCAAAAAAATTAAAGAAGCTAAATTAGATAAATCTGTAAAGAAGGACAGAAAAATCATCCACAAAGCTATACCAAAAGAACCTGCAGATACGAAAGGTGAAAAGCATAAAAAAATAGGTAAAAAGATTCCTCAGTATGAGCCCACCATTTCTTCCGGGGAAGAAGAGGAAGACGAAACAGTAGATCTTAGTAGTCCTGAAAGTGATGAGATTTTAGAGGCCCACATGGAACAAATTGAAACACTCATCAAAAAACCTCAGGAGACTAGATTAGAAAAACCTGAGAAGATTGAAAAAATAATCAAAAGGGGTATCACAAAAGAACCTGCTGTTTCTCACAAAGAAACAGCAGTTAAGAAGGATGAAAAACATGAAAAGATAACAAAAAAGATTCCACAGTATGAACTTACGCTTTCCCCTGGGGAAAAACAAGATGATAGATTAAAACTTGGTAGTCCTGAAAGTGAAGACATTTTAGAGGTCCACGTGGAAAAATCTGAAATACCTATCACAAAACGTAAGGATGCTAAAGTAGATAACATTGATAAAACTGAAAAATTAATCAAAAAAGATATAACAAGAGAACCTGCTGTTTCCTGCCAAGAATCAGTAGACAAGAAGGATGAAAAACATAAAAAGATAGTGAAAAAGATTCCTCAATATGAACCCACTATTTCTCTTGGGGAAGCAGAAAAAGTAGTGTCTAGCAGTCCTGAAAGTGATGACATTTTAGAGGCCCACACAGAACAAATTAAAACACCTATCAAAAAATCTAAAGACACAAAATTAGAAAAAACTGAAAAATTGATAAAAGATAAAGCAAAAGAAACAGTAGACAAGAAGAAGGACGACAGACAGAAAAAAATAAAAAAGATTCTTCAGCATGAGCCATCTATTTCTTCTTCTGAAGAAGAAAAAAACATAGCAGTGCTGAAAGCGATGAAATATTAGATGCCCAAGAGGATAAAATGAAAACACCAATTAAAAAAACTAAGGAGGGAAGATTTGATAAAGCTAAGGAGAAAGCTAGAAAAATCACTGAAAAGGGTAAAACAAAAAAATCTACTGTTTCTTACAAAGAAACAGGAGATGAAGGAGTAGAATTGATCAGTGATGAAGATGATGAAGTAACAGAGACCCAAGATGAATATGTTAAAGAACCTAGTAGGAAAATAAAAGAGTCTAAATTAGACACAACTGTAGAAAAAGCAAAACAAATAAAAAAGATTCCCACTAAAGAACATGTTGTTACATCCAAGAAAGCAGTAACGGAACAATTAGATATTAGTAGTGCAGAGAGCGATGAGCTACTAGAGGCTGTAGATGAACGTGGTAAGAAACCTTCAAAAAAGATAGAGACTAGAACAGATAAAAAGTCTTTAGAGACTTCCGAGGAAGAAGTGGAGTTGTTACACCAAAAACCTATTAAAAAATTAAAGGAAGGTGATGATATCCCTGCTAAACTGAAAAGTATTTCTAAAGATACAAAACCAGATAGAGTAAAATTATTACATAAAGTTGAAAAGGCAGATTTACAACAAGGTGAAGAAATAGCACAGAAAAAAGTCACCCTTATAACAGAACAGGGAGATACATTTGTTAGAAAAGATAGATGCAGAGTTAGGTAAAGAAATACCTGATAAGAAGAGCATTGTGAATCTTAAGAAAAAAGAGCAGCTCTCAAAAGATATTGTACACAAAGAAGATGTAACACATTCCAGCAGATCACCCAAAGATACTGTGAAGGCTCCAATAATACCTGATGTAAGTGCAAAAGGAGAAAAAGTAGCAGGTATGCATGCTGCTATACCCACTGTTGAAATATCAATTGAAGAACCACCTTCTGCTGATGAGATTCCTTTATACAATGTCAAAAGGGAGATAGAACAGGACAGAACAGTGGAAGATATCTTTGAGCATCCAACAGAGAAAGTCAGAAAGATTGCAAAACCTGAAAAGAAGACAGACATAGCAGAGCCTAAAAAAGAAAGTCTTTCCCCATTACAGCAAATTAGTCGTTTGAAAACCCCTATTGATAAAGACAAAATATCAGTAAAAGTACAACCTGAAGAAAAAAAGCCTGTGATTCCATCTCTCAAAAAAGTGGAAAAGGTTAAAACTCCTCTGCCAGAAGAACTTCTTCTACCTGGCAAAGGGATTTCACCTAAGGATGATAGATCTCTGAAAGTGATTAGTAGAACTAGCACTCCTACAGACATTAGAAAGGTGGAGCAAAAGAAATCCTTATTAAAAGAGACGCCTCAAGATGAAAGCTCTTTTAAAGTGATTAGCAGAACTAGCACTCCTATTGATAGGAGAAAAGTAGAGCAAAAGAAATCCTCAGACAAAGTAACACCTCCTTCAAGGAGCCCACTTAAAGATAAGGATTCAGCATCTCTGAAAACAGAAACAGATTCCAATGACATTGAGGAATTAGAAGAAGATGAAACCTGGGAACAAGAGCTGGAAAGTGCTTCTGAACAAACTGACTATGGCTCTGAAGAAGATATACTTAGTGAAGACAGTGGACAAGGAAGGAAAAGGGCCAGAGAAACTCCAGGAAAGGCCATTGGTAGACGAGGTGAGAAGTCTCTGCAGGAAAAAGTCTGCTTTTAAAAAAATCATATGCTTCCATCATTTTCATTCACCATATACGCTAAATAAATTTGGATGGAAGGCTTGTGCCATATTTGTTGGAAGAAAGTGATCATCCTCTTCATACTCATAAACGTGTATTCATAAACATCTTTGAAGAAGAAACATGACCATGTGTTCTCTGTCTCTTATTAAATTTCAACATTAAATGTCTTCATTCTTCATGTTACAGAAACATACTTGTCTTACAGTTTCTAGTTTCATAATGTTTCATTGTTTTGTCTTCATGTGTGTGCATTTTGTTTCGAGAAAATAATTTACTTACTTTTGCATTTTAGACCATAGTCTAACTTCACTATTTTCATGTACCACAGTCTAATACAGTGTTTTTCAACCTTTTTTGTGCAAAGGCACACTTTTTTCATGAAAAAAATCACGAGGCACACCACCATTAGAAAATGTTAAAAAAATTTACCTCTGTGCCTATATTGACTATATATAAAGTAATTCTCTTGAATAGGAATCAAACACAAAGAAATTATTTTATAATTACTTTATTATGAAATAATAAAGTATTTTTTATAATTGGACCCGGGGGCCGGACCAAGAGTAGATGAATGATGTGTATGTGTCATCCATAGTAAGTATAGTAATATTCCCCCATAGTAAGCATAGTAATTAATCCCCCATATAGTAATTCATCCCTCCATATAGTAATTCATCCCCCATAGTAATTCATCCCTCATATAGTATTTCATCCCCCCATATAGTATTTCATCCCCCCATATAGTATTTCATCCCCCCATATAGTATTTCATCCCTCATATAGTAATTCATCCCTCATATAGTATTTCATCCCTCATATAGTATTTCATCCCTCATATAGTATTTCATCCCCCATATAGTATTTCATCCCCCCATATAGTATTTCATCCCCTCATATAGTATTTCATCCCTCATATAGTATTTCATCCCCCCATATAGTATTTCATCCCTCATACAGTAATTCATCCCTCATATAGTAATTCATCCCCCATATAGTATTTCATCCCTCATATAGTATTTCATCCCCCCATATAGTATTTCATCCCTCATATAGTAATTCATCCCCCCATATAGTATTTCATCCCCCCATATAGTATTTCATCCCCCCATATAGTATTTCATCCCTCATATAGTAATTCATCCCTGATATAGTAATTCATCCCCCATATAGTATTTCATCCCCCCATATAGTATTTCATCCCTCATAAAGTAATTCATCCCTCATATAGTATTTCATCCCCCACAGTACTATTCCCCCCCCCCCCTTCTAGTAAGCCAAGTCCCCCGTGTCAATTCACTTACCTTTTGCGTTCCTCTCGCTGTCTTCCCGCGCCGTTCGGGTCTTCAGGGCGGACTGTGAGAGGAGCCTAGCTCCCCTCCCCTCACGTTCGGCACGCTGCCCCGCCCCGCCTACACACATCCTGACAGCCACATCCGCAAGCCGGATAAAAGGTCCGCGCGGACTTTTGGGGCTGCCAACCGAGAGGAGGCAGGGGAGCGGCCGACCGACCGAGGAGGAGGGAGGGGAGCAGGCGCCCGGCACACAGAAGAGCCGCATTAGACTGGGTAAAGAGCCGCATGTGGCTCGCGAGCCGCGGCTTGCCGACCACTGAATCATTAGATTCTAATGATTGGTCTATTTGTGAGCCGAAGCCACATGTTACAGATGAAATTGGAATTTTTCCCACGGCACACCAGACAATATCTCACGGCACACTAGTGTGCCGCGGCACAGTGGTTGAAAAACGCTGGTCTAATATTTGTACATGTCATTTCATTCATGCTACATATGAAGTGTTTTTGGCAATGTATAATTCATCCTACTGGGATTACACCAGTCTTCCTCACAACTGCTAGTTTAAACCACTCGTGTATGTATGCACTTTTATAAGCTTTTATTTCTGAAACTCACTTTAGAGTTTTAATGCCAGAAAAAAATATTTGAGAGTGCGCCAGTAAAAATGTATTGAACTGTAGTTAAATATACTAACATCACTGTTTCACTTTAGATACTAAAACACCAAAAGAGGAGGCTCCTAAGGGTAAACTTCCACTTAAAGGTGAGAATAGTTTGCTTTGGATTTCACATGTTCGTGTTTGCAAAATTTATGTATGAATTCTGTTAAGAGAAACCTGTTATGAGAGAACAATTTGAGCTGCAAATTCTGAGCTTTTAATAAAATGTTATTTGCATGGCTGTCATGCTTATCCTTTACCTTCAGTACTGAAACAAGTTAGCAGAAAGTGTTTCAGGTCTGTTAATCGGCAAAATATTATGCAAGAGGGTCAGAATGACAACCTAGCAGCTAGTACGTTCAGAAGGACATCATTAACGACAATCCACATTATTTTCTCATGACAGTTTCCTATAAACAACTTTTGTAACTAACATCCCATGATATACAAATCTGACAGGAAAAAAAGGAATTGCTTCCTTGCTTTACTAGCTATCCCAATTGCATGTACCATTAATACTGAAATCCCTTTTATTATATTGTGCACTGTTCTGTGACTTATTATGTGCATATGCTGTATTTTTTACAGTATATTAACCAAGTTTAAAGTATAGCCAGTGTTTAAAATGCACTGGAACAAATATGTAAGATTTATAAAAGCTTCAGCTGTACCAAGTCTCAGTTTTGCCATGTCCACATCTACATTTTAGGTGTCAAAAAGACACCTTCACCACTAGATGCTGACAAGAAGAAACTACGCCCTGGTAGTGGCGGTGACAAACCTCCAGATGAACCAGCATTTACTTACCAGCTGAAGGCCGTGCCATTGAAGTTTGTCAAGGAGTTGAAGGACATTGTGCTACAAGAAGCAGAGTCTGTTGGCTCTTCAGCAATTTTCGAGTGCCTTATTTCACCCTCTACTGCTATTACTACCTGGATGAAGGATGGCAGCAACCTGAGAGAAAGTCCTAAACATAAGTTCATTTCTGATGGCAAAGACAGGAAACTTCATATTATTGATGTGCAGCTTTCGGACACTGGAGAATACACCTGTGTAGCAAAACTTGGCAACAAGGAAAAGACGTCTACAGCCAAACTTATTGTTGAAGGTATTACATTTTATTAAAAAAGAAAATAATATTTGTGAATAATTTTAGTTAAAATTTGCACTAGAAATGAACACTTTTTTAAAAAATAATATTGTGTTGGTGCCACAGTGTTAAACCTTCATTACAAGGCCTGATGTACTTTTCTTATGTTTATGTAATACATATACCCTGGAATTCATAAAGACTGGCACATTTTGCAAAAGTGTATTCCTGAAATCTAAAAGTGGTGAGGAATGCACCAAATTCATGTACCTGTCTAAAACTTGTACTTGAATTTGGCTCATTCTGCTCCACTTTTAGAGACACTTCAGCAAAATCTGTCCATGTTTCTCTCTGTATGTCAAAAGAGAGCTGGTCTTAATTAGCTCCACTTTTACATTTGGCGCATTCAATGCAACACAATGTAAAAGTGGCACATTGAATGCAACACAATGTAAAAGTGGCACATTTTATAATTACCTGCATTTGGTGCACGAGTCAGAACCAAAAGTGTCACAAATGCTTCATGAATTTGGTGCAAGATATTAACAAGAGGGATTAACCCCAGAAAAGTGACACAGCAGCTTTATTGAATTCCCCCCAATAGAATCACATATGTAACTAAGCTTTTTCCTATTCATGCAGAATTGCCTGTTAAATTTGTAAAAACTCTGGAAGAGGAGGTCACTGTCGTCAAAACGCAGCCTATGTATCTGAGCTGTGAACTTAATAAAGACAAAGATGTAGTCTGGACAAAGGATGGCAAGAAGCTCAGTGAGACTTCACCTGGCAGATACCAAACAAATATTATTGGATTAAACCGTACTCTAACTATCGTGGCTGCAGATGATATGGATGCTGGAGTATACACTTGTACCGTAGAAAGTGCTAACATCAAATGCTCCTCAAATGTCAAAGTAGTTGGTAAGTCAAAAACCAAAACATTCACAATATTCATATTTTCAATTGCAATTTGAATTGCAATAATGCAATAAATGTCTAAACCTTTTAAACCTGCAAATTAAATTAAAAAAATACAACAGGATTGGTAGCAACTGTATACAACTAAAATTGTTCTCATTAAGTTCAGTACTAAGTTCAAATTGAAAGAAAAGCTTTTGCAACACATATTGCTGATAACAAGCTGATGTATTTAAAACAACAATGCATAATCATTTCATTGTACTTTTTTCCGGCAGAGGTAATTCGTGACTGGTTGGTCAAGCCTATTCGTGACCAACATGTCAAACCCAAAAACACAGCAACCTTTGTGGCAGATATTGTTAAGGACACACCAAACATCAAATGGTACAAAGGAGAAGAGGAGATTCCACTAGAACCAAATGATAAAACTGAGCTGAAGAAAGAGGACAATAAAATATATCTGATTATCAAAAATGCTGGCCCAGATGATGTTGGAGAATATTCCGTGGAAGTTGAAGGAAAACGTGTCACAGCTAAACTCACTCTGGGCGGTATGTAAAAATTAGGTTTTTGAAAATAAATGCAAGAAAGTTTGTTTCATTGTTGTGGAATAGTGGCCTGTAGTGCTATCAGTGACCTGTCTTTTTCTTTACCCAAGAGCGTGAAGTTGGTCTTCTCAAGCCAATTGAAGATGTTATGATTTACGAAAAGGAATCTGCTTCCTTTGACTGTGAGATATCTGAGGCAGATATTCCTGGAGAATGGAAACTGAAAGGAGAAACACTGCGGCCATCACCAGTAAGATACCACAAAGAGATCTATATTTCAACATGTAACAGTGTAATAAGCATATATGTGCTAAATGCATAACAGTTTATCATAAAGCAGTTTTGTTTGCTCGGGTTTAGTTAGGCTGCATAAAAAATTATCTTTGACTGCTTTTAGAGGCAGTACTGGACACCATCACACTTTCTTAACTTAAAATGTATGTAAAGCAGCATATTGGCTTAGCAGTTAGCACTTCTGCCTTGCAGTGCTTGAATCCCTGACAGGATATTGCCTGCATTGAGCTTGCATGTACTTTCTGTGCTTGTGTTGATTTCTTCTGGGTACTCTAATTTGTTCCCACACTCCAAAGATGTGTTGAAAGGATAATTGCCTCCTGCCTAAGTTGGCTCTACATGTCTTTGTATTTGAGATAGGGACCTTAGATTGTAAGCTCCATCAGAGCAAACACTGATGTGAATGTACAGTATGTAAAGTGCTACATAAATTATTAGTGCTATATACTGTAAATACCGGTAATAAATAAAATCAAGCCAAAACAGGTTTTATTGTTTTGTATAGAATGTAGAAGGGTTAGAGCCTCTCTCAGATTTTTTTCTGTTTGTGTCCCTGCTGGGGAGATTCGCTCTCACTATTGGTCCTCTTTTACTATTGACCATGTACCAATAGAAAAGAGAGGAAATATTTAAATGGGTAATCCTGTTCTGGAGACCTCTATCTAAGAGGGAATAACCTTCCTTTGAAGAGCTCTCCTCTTATTTCCTGTTGTTCACAGAATGGTAAGGAAAATCTCCCCTTCGGGATACAGACAAAATTGACTGTCAATGATTCTCTATTCTATCCAAAAGTATAAAAAAATTGCTTTATGTAGAGATTAAACAACATCCTAACTGTAAGTTACATTTTATTTCCCAAATGTAATGCTCAAGAGCAAAACAATATCTTTTAGAACTTAGGAAACAGAATTTGTTATAAATATAATTTTAACGTTTCCTCATATTCAGATGTATTATCAATGTCTTTGTTTCTTAGACATGTGAAATCAAGGCTGAAGAAGGAAAGCGTTTCCTCACTCTCCATAAAGTCAAAGTTGAACAGGCTGGAGAAGTTCTTTTCCAGGCTCTGAATGCAGTTACCTCTGCTATTCTTACTGTAAAAGGTATGCTTGTCTTGGTGAAATTGTTTTCTGTATATATTACATGTTCTACCTTTATTTAACATCTTTAAACCACATTTTGTCTTCAGAAATTGAGCTCGACTTTGCTGTTCCTCTGAAAGATGTTACCGTTCCAGAGAAGCGCCAAGCTAGATTTGAATGTGCTCTTACTCGAGAAGCAAATGTCATATGGTCAAAAGGCCCAGATATTATCAAGGCCGGTGACAAATTTGACATTATTTCTGATGGAAAGAAGCACATCTTGGTCATTAATGACTCTGCTTTTGATGATGAAGGGGAATACACTGCAGAGGTTGAAGGCAAAAAGACAACAGCCAAGCTCACGGTTGAAGGCAAGTCAGAACTGACAGTACAGATGAGAATAGTATGGAAAATTATATTTTATCAACCTCTAAAATCTAATTTTTAATAATTGATTTGACCCTTATTAGGGTTTCTGTAATGGAAAAAAAAGTAAAATGCTCCATCTTGCTATAATAAGTTTGGGATACCCCAAGAGTTCAGTGGATTTTTACCTGCCAGAAAAGTGAATGGTGTGTTAACTAGAGATACTTTTGTTGCAGGCATCAGACTTAAATTTATTTCACCACTTAAAGATCAAACCATTAAAGAGGGAGAAACAGCTCACTTTCATTTTGAGCTTTCCCATGAAAACATGCCCGTTACCTGGTACAGAAATGATAAGAAGCTTCACACAAGTAGGACTGTTCTTATCTCTGAAGAAGGCAAGACTCATAAACTGGAAATAAGAGAAGTAACTCTTGATGACATCTCCCAAATTAAGGCTGAAGTCAAAGGTCTACATACATCAGCAAACTTAAAAGTATTAGGTATGATATATGTTACATGGCAGTCACACAATTGTTACTGATAATTATATACAACTATCCAATTACATTACTTTTGGCACAAATACTACATCTCTCTGCCAGCATATCAGGTTCCTGAGAATCACTGAATGGTACTTCTTCATATCTTTTTTTTGGTTAAGCACAACAGTTTTCTTTCGACTTTCTTTCCTCTTCCATAATATTTGGCACAGCATATGCTGTTACACCAGTGCTCAGTTAACAACCCTAGGCTTAAGTATCGGAGCTGCTTTAATGAAATTGTGACCAGCTACTGCCAACATCATGATGAAGATGAAAATGCTTTTAATTTTTGTTCCCTGACCCCCCAGGGCTTCTTTCTACAGTCTTCTAAATAGGCTGTATAATATATGTGGGCCTACAGCTAGGCTTTCAGCATATTTCTTTATCTTCTGTCTTGTTTTACTGTATTCCCTTCGTATGATATTTTGATTCAAAAGTGCAGTGCTGATACAGAAGCTGCTTGTTTATTGATTCCTAATACATTTCTAACATGCATTTGGCGTTTCCTATCAATTTTCCCAAAATGTTACATTGTTGGAAATTATTCCAATTATGAATCTAATCAAAAAACAAGTTGGCTAAACATGTTGCCAAGATGTATGTTTTTATTAGTACTAGAAAAAAGTGTTGGATATATTAAAAACAATGTTGCAGAACTGTTTTGGAGTGTAAAGAGTGCAGTGGATATGACAACTGGCAGTATTAGCACGAAAGGAGAGCAGAGGGGATGACAGGAGGCAGTATGTGCAGGAGAGCGATGAAGACAGTTTGACAGCAGGCAGTGTGCGCGCAGTAGACAATTGTGAAGGGTATGACAGCAGGCAATACATACAGAAGAGAAGTGCATGGGGTATGACAGGAAGCAGTATATGCAGGAAAAGAATGAAAATGTATGAAAGCAATCAGTATGTGCAGCAAGGTTTTCTTTTACTGGGTTGTCTCTGCAGCCACTGGGAGCTGGAGGTGAGGTGGTTGGGGAGGGCTATCTTTTAGAGGTGCTTGAGGCAGCCAGGGAGGGATGTGTGTCATCCATGGGTGAGGCAGCCAGGGATGAATGTGCGGGAAGGTGAGTTAGACAGGGAGTGGGATGGGGTGGTTGAAACAGGCAAACAGGGATGCCTGTCAGGTGGTGAGTCAACAAGGGAGGACATATGTTAGTGTGGGGTGCAGGGAGAAGGTAGGGTGGTTGATCAGCAAGGGGGATTGTCTGTCAGCAGGAGGGAGGAGAGGTGTCTGTGAGTTATATCTGTAGGGACTGGGTGGGATGTCTGTTTTATATGTGGAGGGGGGAATGGAGGCCAACAGGGAAGGGGGGTGTTAGCAGGGTAGGAGAGGCTGCCAAGAATGCATGTTGGGGGGGCAGCAATGTGAGCTCCATTAGTGCCACTCCGTCTATCTCAAAGGCACCCCAATCTGTTTTTGATGTGGCAGATCTATACCTGCTCTTTGCCCTCCCAACAAAGGCTTGTCAGCATAAGATGTTGTGAAAGCAGAGAGCCACAGCTGTCCACACATGCACTGGCACCTGGCCTATATGCAGAAGTTTTATGGAGAGCCAGGAGTTGTAAGCCAAGGCAGATCATTAAGACTTGTCCATGGGTCTTTTACAACTTTGGTGGGGCAGTGAGTGGAAGAATAGCAAATCAAGTAGAAATCGAGGCACAGCATTAGGACAGAATTTGGTGCAGTAGAGGGGAAGCAGGAAGCAGAGAGTGGGAGGTCAGACAGACAGGAAGGAGAAGAAGAAATTGCTACTGGAGCCAAAATCCCCAAGTGGCAAAACAAACCACTGACTTTGACATTATCCTGGATGGGAAAATTAAACAGCACAGAGAAAAGTAAACTTCAACTTAGCTTTTAGGGACTAGTTATGCTAACAATTTTAACTATAGCTCAACATTATTAATAAATGTATTTCCATTTTTCCAGTTTGCCATTTGATACTTATTTCTACTAACTGGGCACTACTCACAAATTACAGTATAACTGAGCACCACTTACAAATTACATAATAACTAAACCCTTTCACGCATTTATTCAAAAACAGTGTCCAAAAGTATGTTATGTCCTTGTCCATTTGTTTTTTCAGTAAATTTTAAGCTTTTAAAAGCCATGGCTAGATTTATATCAATGTAATATGTTTGTAAGTAATTTTTTTTGTTTTATATTTGTAAGCTTTTAATTGTATTTTTATGTTTTTTTTTTATTTTTTTGTGCAGTCTTTGTCTTTGTATGTATTTTACATGTTTGTATGTTTTACTTTTAAATGTACCTTGCTGTTTATTTTTTGTCCTTCTGACGTTTGTTTTTGTTTGTTCGTGTTTGTTGTGGGGTTTTTTTTTACATGTTTTTATATGTTACTTTGTCATTTGTCTCAAAGTCGGAAATGGGCTGCACGGTATGGTATGTTACCTCTCCCCATTTGATGTTGTATACACTTTATTCATTATTATGGGTGATCTTTTTGCAGAGGCTGATCCTTACTTCATTGTAAAACTGCAAGACTACACTGCAGTGGAAAAAGATGACATCACTCTTGAGTGTGAGCTTAGCAAAGATGTACCCGTGAAATGGTTTAGAAATGGTGAAGAAATTAAGGCTTCAAAGACTGTAACTATCAAGACTGAAGGCAAACGCAGAATTCTGAAGATTAAGAAAGTTGAAGAAAAGGACAAAGGGGATTACGAATGTGACTGTGGAACAGACAAAACTAAAGCAAGCGTGAACATTGAAGGTAGGTTATCATCTAAGGTCAATTAAAAGGCATAAAAGCCTTACTCTTTGCTTTGCAGCTGTTTGAGGCAACCAATCAGCTTCTATCTTCTTTTTCAAAATTTAAGTGAACAAGCTAAGGAAAGTAGCCAATTGGTTGCCATATATCACTGCTTCTGTGTGCTCTAGTTTTGATCAATATCCCCTAATGTTTTTGTGGTTTTAGCACGCATTATTAAAGTAGAGCGCCCCTTGTATGGAGTGGAAGTGTTTGAAGGTGAAACAGCTCGTTTTGAAGTAGAAATCTCAGAACCTGATGTTCATGCTCAATGGAAACTTAAGGGAGAAGTATTATCTCCATCTCCGGTAAGTTATGTCTGTACAAGTCATATATGCAAGCAGCTGTCTATCTTCCTCCTGTTTATTTATTTATTTATTTATTTATGAATCCTTAAAGTTCCTATACAAATATTTTGAAGAGAACTTAAAACAGTGTTAGGAACCCATCAGCTTTTTGCTTTCATTTTCTTATATACACTGGAATGCTATTTGGATTTTCATTGCTACATCAAGAAAGTCCATTTTCTTTAGTTTTTAGAAGATACCTCCATATGTGTGTTAATTTAATTATCTAGCTATCTCTTTTATATAGTTGATTAATTCATTTTGCTTCTTGGAATCAAAGGATTGTGAAATCATAGAAGATGGAAACAAACACGTCCTTATCTTGTATAATTGCAAACTGGACATGACTGGGGAGATTTCCTTCCAAGCTGCCAATGCCAAAAATGCAGCTAATCTCAAAGTAAAAGGTATGATGATATTTTACTACTACATGAGCCAGAAGCACTTACTACAGTTATAAAACTTGGTTTATATAGTATATATACCCAGATAATACTTTTTTTTATCATACATTTATTTATTCTATTCTAATCATTATGTGATCCACAGGACATATTTGCAGCATTTTGGAAAGTTCAACCATTCACATTTACACAGTCCAGGAGCTTAAAATCTAATGTTCTTACCACAGTCACAGACACACACATGAACTTGAATACTACACAGGAGCTAATTAAGTGAACCTATAGTTTTGTGGCCTTTTTTATAGATGTATATGTGAAAGTGATCAGTTTATTTTAAATAACCTTACCTATAGGTGTAATGCTTTAAGGAACACCCATGTGAATGTAATCTTGTCAGGTTTATAAAATCTTACTGCAGTAATACCCTGCAATACCTTTTTAGTGGCCAGTGAAACTTTGTTCTGTAGCAGAGTTTTTTGTGCCACTACCATGCAACATTTCTAGATGTGTAAAATAATGTTCTCCCACTGGGTGCTGAGGTTCCTTCTACCAACCCCTAGTAGTAGGGGAGGCATGCCAGTCAATGAATGCATGCCAGTCAGGTAACTAATATTTTTAGAAGATAGATTAAACATGGCAGCCCCCATAAATCTTCAGTACATGACTCCTTTAACACAGTAGGGATGATTTTTCCCAAGTAGGTGGGTCCACTTTGCAAGGGCTGAGCTTAGTGAATGGGGTGATGCCCTGCTGATTTCTATCATCCAATCATGTGAAAGAAAAAACACTGTTTTTTTTTTCATTTTCTTTGCACATAATTAGGTATTTGTTGCAAATTAAATTTTCACCACATTTACTAAGCTAAGCATACACTCTCTTTCAAAGTAAGCAGCCTATTTGCCTTTAATAAATCATCCCTATTGCTTCTATGTAGAATATACAGTATATGTATATAGTACAGTAGTGTTACAGATCGACATAACCTTCTTGTCCCTTTCCTTCTTGCTTTAAGCCTATTAGTCACCTCAACAATAGAAAACAGAAGACTGTCTATCAGTTTGCCTTGTAATCTCAGCAACTGCTCATTAAGGATACATCATACTGATTGCTATACAGAATGATATTTACAGTCATGGCCGAAATTGTTGGCACCCTTGATATTTCTCCAGGAAATCATGTATTTCTCACGAAATGTATTGCATTAACACATGTTTTGCTATACACATGTTTATTCCCTTTGTGTGTATTGGGACAAAACAAAAAAAGGGAGGAAAGAAAGCAAATTCGACATAATGTCACACAAACCTCCAAAAATGGGCTGGACAAAAGTATTGGCACCCTTTCACAACTGCGGATAAATAAGAATGTTACAAGCATGTGATGCTCCTGTAAACTCACCTGGGGCAAGTAACAGGTGTGGGCAATATAGAAATCACACCTGAAAGCAGATAAAAAGGAGAGACGTTCACTTAACCTTTGCATTGTGTGTCTGTCTGTGCCACACTAAGCATGGACAACAGAAAGAGGAGACGAGAACTGTCTGAGGACCTGAGAACCAAAATTGTGGCAAAATATCAACAATCTCAAGGTTACAAGTCCATCTCCAGAGAACTAGATTTGCCTTTGTCCACAGTGCGCAACATTATCAAGAAGTTTGCAACCCATGGCACTGTAGCTAATCTCCCTGGTCGTGGACGGATGAGGAAAATTGATGAAAGATTGCAACGCAGAATAGTCCGGATGGTGGATAAGCAGCCCCAAACATGTTCCAAAGACATTCAAGCTGTCCTGCAGGCTCAGGGAGCATCAGTGTCAGCGCGAACTATCCGTCGACATTTAAATGAAATGAAACGCTATGGCAGGAGACCCAGGAGGACCCCACTGCTGACACAGAGACATAAAAAAGCAAGACTACAGTTTGCCAAAATGTACTTGAGTAAGCCAAAAGCCTTCTGGGAAAACGTCTTTGTGGACAGATGAGACCAAGATAGAGCTTTTCGGTAAAGCACATCATTCTACTGTTTACCGAAAACGGGAATGAGGCCTACAAAGAACAAAACACAGTACCTACGGTAAAATATGGTGGAGGTTCAATGATGTTTTGGGGTTGTTTTGCTGCCTCTGGCACTGGGTGCCTTGACTGTGTGCAAGGCATCATGAAATCTGAGGATTACCAAAGGATTTTGGGTCGCACTGTAGGGCCCAGTGTCAGAAAGCTGGGTTTGCGTCCAAGATCCTGGGTCTTCCAGCAGGACAATGACCCCAAACATACGTCAAAAAGCACTCAGAAATGGATGGCAAAGAAGCGCTGGAGAGTTCTGAAGTGGCCAGCAATGAGCCCAGATCTAAATCCCATTGAACACCTGTGGAGAGATCTTAAAATTGCTGTTGGGAAAAGGTGTCCTTCCAATAAGAGAGACCTGGAGCTGTTTGCAAAGGAAGAGTGGTCCAAAATTCCGGGTGAGAGGTGTCAGAAGCTTATTGATGGTTATAGGAAGCGACTGATTTCAGTTATGTTTTCCCAAAGGGTGTGCAACCAAATATTAAGTTAAGGGTGCCAATACTTTTGTCCAGCCCATTTTTGGGGTTTGTGTGACATTATGTCATATTTGCTTTTCTGCCTCTGTTTTATATTTGTTCCAATACATACAAAGGGAATAAACATGTGTATAGCAAAAACATGTGTTAATGCAATACCTTTTTTGTGTGAAATACTTGATTTTCAGGAAAATATCAAGGGTGCCAACAATTTCGGCCATGACTGTATAGATAACACGTTTCTTTTCCTGTAGATACAGTAATTAACCATTAGCCGCCCGGCCAATGGCCGTTTGGCGGCTTGAAATGCGCTCCTAAATTCCGGGTGCACGCCATTTGGCGTGCCTCCCGCACATGCGCAGTTTGCGGCACAGCAGAGCGGCGCAGCAGCGGGATCTGTCACGGGCCGTGCACCTCGGACACGGCCGATGACAGATCCGAGTACCGGCTCCCGTAGCTGGTACCATGTGACCTGCTGTGACCAATCACAGCAGGTCACATGATAGTTGTATACAATGGATGGCTTCATTCATGATGCCATCCATTGTATACTAGTGCCTAGCTGTGAATGGTCACAGCAGGTCACATGCACATGTCATGTGATTAGCTGTGACCAAATCACAGCTAAGCACAAAACAAAACAAAACAAAAAAAAAAGCTGAATGAATCGATTTCATTCAGCTAAATGCTTGCTTATAGCAAAGTAATTCTTTGCTATAAGCAAACTGTGTATAAAAAAAAAAAAAAAAAAAAACTGATCACTCCCCCAAAGTAGTACAATGTTACTATGGTAACATTGTACTACTTTGGTCATAGTAAAATATGAAAAAAAAATCTTTAAAAAAATGTAATAAAAAATTAAATATAATAAAAAAATATATATATATATTATTTTTTTTTTTCATACTGTCACCAGTCAGTGTCCATGTTCACCACCATGCCAGTTATATGAAGATGCTGTACTGCACTGGTGACAGTATGTAAAAAAAAAAAAATAGTGAAAATAATTTTTTTAATTTTTTCATTTTCCGAAAAATTATGACAAAAAAATACAACTTCAAAAAACTCGCCATGCCTCTTATGAAGTACGTCGGACTGTCTACTCTGCAAAAAGGGGTCATTTGGGGATATCTGTACTATTCTGACATTCTTGGACCTCAAGAAATTAGATTGGCTGTCAGTACTTCAGGATTGATCAATATTCAGATCTATACCATAGTTTGTGAACTCTATAACTTTCCTACAAACTAAAAAATACATCCTAATTTGGGTTATTTTCACCAAAGACATGTAGCAGAATACATCTCGGCCTAAATTTATGAAGAACAATTATTTATTTGTAAACTTTTATAACAGAAACAAAGAAAAATGTGTTTTTTTTTCAAAATGTTTGGTCTTTTTTTGTTAATTTAGCAAAAAATAAAAACCCCAGTGGTGATTAAATACCACCAAAAGAAAGCTCTAGTTGTGTGAAGAAAATGATAAAATTTTAGTTTGGGTACAGTGTTGTATGACCGCGCAATTGTCATTCAAAGTGTGAGAGCGCTGAAACCTGAAAAATGGCCTGGGCAGGAAGGTGTAAAAATCACACGGTATTGAAACGGTTAATAAGTAACAATTAAAAATAATAAGTGCGTACTGTGCCTTGTCTTGCAGAACTTCCTCTCATCTTCATCACTCCACTTAGTGATGTCAAGGTGTACGAAAAGGATGAAGCAAGATTTGAATGTGAGACTTCAAGATTGCCTAAGACCTTCCGTTGGCTAAAAGGTTCCCAGGAACTCACAGGAGATGACAAATATGAACTTATTGCTGAAGGCACAAGACATGCTCTAGTCCTCAAGTCAGTTGCCTTTGAAGATGAAGCTAAATACATGTTTGAAGCAGAGGACAAGCGAACCAGTGGCAAACTGATAATTGAAGGTTTGTTTCTATTTTTAAAAATAAACAAACAAAAAAATTAATAACTAATTATTAATTTCTAAATGATTGAAGTAAATCTTAATCCTTGTCTTAGATATCTTTGTTATCTATAAAATAGCATAAATGATTTTTAGCAATATTGGTTTGGCAAACATTGATGGAATGTAACAAACATTTGGTTAAATCATTACACTGTTATTTGCATTTTTTTTTAAATTCGGCTCTGTAGAGGTGAAGTTAAAAAATAATTTTTGTACCCCTTTATAGGTATTCGTCTTGAGTTTGTGACACCACTTAAAGATGTGACAGTTAAAGAGCAAGAAACAGCTGAATTTACAATTGAGCTATCTCATGAGAACATCCAAGTTAGCTGGCTTAAGAATGACCAACGTCTACATCCCAGCAAGTTGGTTACAATACATGATGAGGGCAAATTCCATACCATTAAGTTCAAGGATGTCACTCTGGATGACACTTCACTAATTAAAGTTGAGGCCATGGGAAAAACCAGTGAGGCTAAGCTTACTGTGCTTGGTGAGTTGTGAACATATAATTAAGTGCAAAAATCTGAAGATTCACTGGATTGTGATGGCATATATTTTTTGTTAATGTGTATTATATGTATTTGTCACAGAGGGAGATCCATACTTTACAACCAAACTGTCAGATTACACTGCTGTAGAGAAAGACGAAGTGGCCCTGCATTGTGAGATCAGCAAGTCTAAAGCACAAGTGAAATGGTTCAAGGATGGACAGGAGATAATTCCATCCAAGAATGTAGTCATTAAGGCTGATGGTAAGAAACGCATTCTCACAATCAAGAAGGCTTCAAAGAAAGACATTGGAGAATACAGTTGTGATTGTGGAACTGATAAAACTATTGCCACGCTGAGCATTGAAGGTAAAAGTTATGATCCATTAGGTGTTTTTTAAACTTTTATTATGATGGTGGAGGCTGAGATTTAACTTTACCTGCTTACATTATCCCTTAGATCGTGACATTAAGGTTGTCCGTCCTCTGTACAGCGTGGAGGTTATGGAAACAGAAACTGCTCGCTTTGAAACTGAGATATCTGAAGAAGATGTCCATGCTAACTGGAAACTCAAAGGAGAAGCAGTACATCCTTCGCCAGTAAGCATAGTTCTGTTTATACTGAAATTCATGTGTGATTTTATGTCATAAATTTAAATAGCACCAGGGCTATTGGTAAATATGATATACTACAGAGAAGGCATATAATGAAGAAAACCACTGCACTTTTTCATCAACAAGTTTTTTGTGTATATTGGAAAGATGAGGTCAATCCTTGCTCATCCATAGTAGCCATGTCACTTCTCTACAGAGGTTGTGTTTTGATGTTACAGTTTTGTTCTAAATTCATGATGACTGTCACATCAAACACGCCCATAAGTTATTGATACATCATTGACATGGAGATATCAAAAATATGGAGAAAAAACAGTGGACTCAAAAAATTCCAAACATCACTGTAATCATTACTGGACAAGCCAACTGTAGTATCTCCTGCATCCACAACCTTTCCTTAAAGTAGTTATGTTTTCATAAAGAAAACCTGCACCTGCAATTTGAGAATTCAGGGCAAAACAAAAGGCTTTGTTGAACAGAAGAACCCTGCAGTGTTTGTGTTTACCATCCTGATGCCCCCCACCTCTCCACCTCTAAGTTCAAGCTTATTCATGTGCTGTGTAGGGTGCTTTCAATTAGTGAACTTATTACATTGCCCTGAAATGGCAAACTATAAGCTTTAAAGAGTTAGTTCACTTTTAGAGAAAAATTGTAAAGGTAACCTAACAATGGACTCCCTGCCCACTCCCTCAATCCTCATTGTTCTCTACCTATGGAGATACTCCTGCAGTTGAAATCCCTGCTGCCCTTTTTCTTCTCTATACAGCACTGCTGGGAGAAACCAGATTTCTGATTGGTTAGTGCCATCAATGTGATGGTGCTGACCAATCAGAATTCATCTAGTCCACTCCAGAGGTGCTGGACAGAGAAGAGAGAAAGCAGGGATTTCAAATCCCTGGACCAGAGGAGCAGCTGTGGGAGCCCTTACAGCTGACGATTTCCGTAAATAAGTACAGCAGGGATTCGGGGGGGGGGGGGTCCAGTTTTTCTGTAAAGGTGAACTAACCCTTTAAGCAGAGTTTTACACAAAGCCTATGAACTTCAAGTTGATTCACTGATTACCTTTGTTTAGCACAATTAGTTTACACAAGTATGTTTGAGTGTGATCTGCAAGCAAATTTAGGAGAGCCTGTTTTAATTACCTATATTACTGGACCTTTGAAGACATGTGTTTACCTTTGTGAGTTTTTAACACACTAAACATACCCTCCAAAACTGTACAGCCCCCATGTGATAATATTTTGCAAATGAGGTTATTTGGAATAGATACCATATATAAACAAAAGGATGGGCTGGGAAGAGGTAAAAAAAAGTTTAATATAAATAAGACAAAAACAAATAGCAAATAGGGAGAGTAAAAACTAGGCTACTAGGACTTTTTGGGGGGCTGTTCATGGTTGCAAGTGTTAAACTCAATATATTGATTTATTTTAGGATTGCGAGATCAAGGAAGAAGGCAAAAAACATTTCCTTATCCTTTATAATGTGCGAATGGATCAAGCTGGTGGTGTGGATTTCCAAGCAGCCAATGCAAAGTCCAGTGCACATCTCAAAGTCAAAGGTGATAACTTTTTAAGATTTTTCAAGACATTCATCTGACTCCAATAAACTGAAATTGTTTAATTGCTATGCACTACTACAGCTTACATTTGTTTTGGGTTTTGTTTTGCTATGCATTGCCCTACTGGTTTTAACTTGCATACTTCCATAGGTGATGCATTTTAAACTTGTTATATCAAATATACAAAAATTGGCATTTAAACTGAGTATAATCCCTGATTTGTTTTTTAATTTTGCTTACTGTATATTTATATATTTTATATATATATAAATCATTTCTGATTCCAGAAATGGTGCTAGTTAACTAAATGAATATAAAGATAAACAATCAGCGCAATGTCACCCAAAAATATATAAAGAGAAATTGTTTCTAAACATCAATAGTACTTCTCAACACCCCATAAATAATTAACATACAAAGAATGTAGCGCAAAATTCTCTTCTTTTGTGCTACATTCTTTGAATGTCCGTTATCTAAATGAATAAACTATATTCACAAAGAGTGTTGAGTCATCAGGGATGGCCTGGATGTTTCTGTAGTAGGTTGTTATGAAAAAACATCATTACAAAGAAAGACTTGCTGTGTTGGCATGTTAGCTGCTGATAGAGAGAGCATTATGTTGTCAATTTTGGAAAGTGCCAAAAGATTGATTGACAGCAGCAGATAGGGTAACCAGGTGGCAGCTGTCCCTATCCAATAGGCCTTCTACTATTTTAGATGGGATATGCTATATGTAGCACGAGACATGTGGTTAATGGGTGGGTGGACAGATTCTACACACAAGCTGTGTACTGCTGACTCTGTTCACTGTAAGGAAACACCATATGCAAATTGAGGGAGGCTCCACCCATTTGAGGTCCCAGGAGGCCAGAGTCTAGTGGTAGCTCTTAAATAGTTTCAGTGCACTTCTCTGCATTCTGGAGGAAAGCCACAATGGATTTTAGACAGTGAGGGGCATGAGCTTCCCTAGGAGGAAGGATTTTAATGAAAAATGTCTTCTTCTGTTGGAAAAGCCCGCCTAATTGGCTTGCTAAGGCCCTTGAAGGATGTGATCGTGACAGCTGGGGAATCAGCTACCTTTGAGTGTGAGCTCTCCTATGAAGGGATACCTGTGGAATGGTTCCTCAAAGGCCAAAAACTGGAACCTAGTGATAAGGTAAGACTTTTTAAACTTCTAAATTATTAAATTTGATTTTGTTAATAATTTAACATATGGCAGAACACTAATTATGTTTTCTGCTTATGAATGCATAGATTTGAAAAAGTGTTACATTCACATTTCCTTTTTTTTCACACAAACCTTTAAAACATCTTTTGTAGTGAAACAAAACAAAAGCATTCACATTTTTGCTTTACAACTGTTATAATTGTACATCAGAAAAGAACTGTTATTAATGTTGCCTTGATGAGGCACATGCCTCTCATGATTAGTTTTTCATTCAATTGATAACTGTAGTAAAGTATTGTGCATATATGGGGATTAGCAGGCTTAAAATTCCATTTCAGGCAATTGACAGCATAACTTTGCAGCCAGATTTGCACTCTAGGTCCTCTTTCGCCTGCTATTTATATCCCAACTTCAAGTGCTTCTTTTACATTTCAAGATACCAGAGGCTGTCAGCTAAATCTGCTGAAACAATTACAATGTAAAAAGTTGGTGTTTATTTCAGGAATCAGATTATCAATTGAATCAAATGTTTGCTAATCATTTTATTAAGCAATTATAAAATTTGATGAGATTGTTAAATGCTTTTGTTTTATTTATGTTTTAAATAAATTATTGAATTGTGTTATAGTGTTATTTCTATTTTTAATAATGAAGGTATATGTTGGCTAATTCTAATGCACTGTAGATGAAATTTTTAGTTTTATCAAGTTTAATTGTGTTGAATATAAATAGTATGCCATGTACAGTGTGTTATTTGTGTTTACTGCATAAAACACATTGGAGGCCTTCTCACTGTAAAATGCCATATTATATAGTACAAATGGTCTCCACTCATCAAACTCACTTATAATTAAAATTGTAAAGTTACTACATTGTAAATAAATTGAGAAAAGGGTTATTATTGTTGCTGAAATGTATTTTAGATTTTGAATAACATAATGGAAAATAAAATGAATACATACATGGATTCATGAACCTGAACCTGAGTTAACTATTGCTATATACTTGTTTAGGGTGAGGTAGCGTTTGCTTCAACCCTGCTCTAAGTTAGACAAGGCATCTGGTTGTCATGGGCAACAACACCGCTTATATCTTTGCGTATTTCAACAGCTGTTCATGTGTGTATTCGTTTTAGAGACAATATGAGACAGAGAAAGCCTGTGTAAGATTATACATTTACTTCAAAGACATTTAGTGCAAAAACATTATATGTATAACACAGGTGCAGCAAATAAAATATGTATGCTTATTATAGTACAGTAGCTATCCAAATTTTTTTTTTAAATCTAGTTGTATAAATGACAGTATTTAATTATAAAATAGAAAAGCATACCCCATAGTAGTGTAGAATAAATGTGCCGGTAATTGATTTTCATGTTATTTTTTATACATACATTAAAAATACAATGTTACATATTGCAAATGTAGATTGCTTGTACATCACAACTGTATAACATGTAAAACACCTTTATTTTCTTTTATAGATTGTGACACGTGCTGAAGGAAGAGTTCACACAATTACTCTGAGGGATGTGCAATTAACAGATGCTGGAGAGGTCACACTCACTGCAAAGGATTTCAAGACACAAGCCAACTTGACCGTGAAAGGTACTCTTTTTTTTTCTATGGACCAGGGGTGTATTTACCACAAGGCAAACAAGGCATTTGCCTAGGGCGGCATTTTTTAGGGGGGCAGCACTGCACCCTGGAAGAAGGGACATATGTGGCATGGAGACCAGGTGGGATCCGAGAGAGGCTGCAGGCTGTTTGATGGTGTATGCAGAGCCCAACGGTCATTCCCGGGGATGGCCAGAGCTGTGAAGATGAGTGTCTTTCTCTCTGTCGCCTTTGGGGGGGTTGGGGGGATGGAGCAGGGGTGTTGTTGGTCGGTGTCAGGCTCTCTATCTGCCGGGGAGGGCGTCCGGATTTTTGTGTTGCCTAGGGCAGTACAAAATCTAAATACACCACTGCTATGGACACGTTGCAGCAGAATGTTTTCTAATGAGATTTTCTTAATTTTTCAGAACCTCCAATTGAATTTACTAAACCTCTTGAGGACCAAACAGTAGAGGAAGAAGCTACTGCAGTACTTGAGTGTGAAGTGTCCAGAGAGAATGCTGAGGTTAAATGGTTTAAGAATGGACAAGAAATCCACAAAACCAAAAAATATGACCTCATTGCTGAGGGAAGAGTTAGAAAGCTTATCATCCATGGCTGCACACTTGATGATGCAAGAACATACATACACATGTGATGCCAAGGATTTCAAGACATCTGCATTCTTGAATGTGGAACGTAAGTTGCAACTTCATTTATGTTTGGACTTGTATAGAAGTTAAATGAAGTTTTAGCAGAAACCGTAAAAAAAAAAAATGAATAAGGTACATTTATTCATTCTTTACATTTGCAGCTCCATTTGTGGAATTTAGCAAACCTCTTACTGACCTTGAAGTTAAGGAGAAAGAAACTGCGCGGTTTGAATGTGAAATTTCACGTGAAAGTGCCAAGGTATGTGTTACTGCAAGTCCTTCTGAGGTAACATAAATATAATTGCTTACAATTCTTTTACTGTCTAAGCACCATTAAAAGATAATATCGCAAACAGTTTTATGTGCTAATGACATGTTATACTAAACATCAGGGGATCAGGGGTCACCAACCCGTGGGCCCCCAACTAGTGCTGGTCCGTTGCCTGCAGGGGGCCTGGTCGCTTGGCAAGGGGTGGACAGGAGAGCCAGCACAACCTGTATTGCCACCCTCTAACCATCAGTTTGCCTAAGATAGTCAATTTATGTCTCAATCAAAGTGGATCCATCAGCCCCCCCCCCCTCCCATGGTCTGTTGAGGGGCTGTCTTGTGCATGGCCATGAGGACCACTGCTAAACACAACATAATTAAAGCATAGGTTCATCTTCGTGAACATGTTAAATGTTACACCCATTTTTAGGGTTCCCACTCCTGCAGCCACTGAGGGATCCAAGCACCTGGTGTGAAAGTAGTATGGGGAGAAGTTCCCCATACCAGCTGTCATTTTTTGCAAAGAGAGGCGGTTGCCCACAAGGCTGCGTTATTCAACGAGTTCTATGAGTGAATGAATTACAAGTTTCGACTTCCTTTGCAGCTGTCGGCTTATAGTTCTCACTGAACTACCATGGCGCTGTTGAGCACTGTGGTAGTTCATGGATTCTTCCTGTCAGTGTGAACCTGTATGGACAGACAGATTACACTGACAGTCTGCAGGAGTCCTGCATGGCACCAGCGATCTGCTGATTGCTGGCGCAATGCTTTCCAGGCTCCTTAAAAAAAATAGTAAATGCACATTTTTTTTACCTGCACAAAAAGTGCATTTATTATTTTTTTTTAAAAGGTGAACTTATCCTTTAAGTCACACAGTCACTGCATGCCTCAGAAATTAGCAGTGTCAGGTGATGAGAGAAGGCCGAGGGTCATGTTTTGGATTAACAAGACACCGTTGTGTTATTATGTATCATTCACCAGGGATGGTTGAAATATATTCCAGTAGTACAACAACATCTACTTTTTTATATGACAGGTCCGCTGGTTCAAAGATGGAGTTGAAATTCGAAAGGGCAAAAAATATGATATTATCTCTAAAGGAGTCACACGGACCTTAGTGGTGAACAAATGTGTGTTTGATGATGAAGCAGAATATACCTGTGAATCGAAAATGGCCAGGACCTCAGGATTACTTACAGTCATTGGTAAGGCCAACAATACAGATAGTTTACCTATTAAAATGCCCCCAATTCATTTAATTTTATACTTTACTACTCAATTCTCTGTGTATGCCACTGACAGCAATAAGTAATGTCAACAAAAAATGCATTTTATAGAAATAATATGCATCTATTGTAATGCATGTCACACAATAACTATGTTTGTATGCATTTGATTACATTTCAGAGGAAGAAGCTATTTTCACCAAAAATCTACCCAATATTGAAGCATGTGAATCTGAAACTGTCAAACTGGTCTGCGAAGTCTCAAAGGCTAGTGCTGATGTGTCCTGGTTTAAAGGAGATGATGAGCTGCCAGATGGTGGAAGATATGAACACATCGCTGAGGGCAGAAAGAGGATCTTGATAATCCAGAATAGCCGTTTGGATGATGGCGGTGAATACAACTGTAGACTGCCAAACTCCCGTACAACAGGCAAACTTGAAATCAAAGGTAATGCCCAAAAGGTGCAAGATAATGTCCATTACCAGTTATTTAGTAAAGTTATCTAATGCAAAGTTGTTTCCTTTTTAGAACTAGCTGCAGAGTTTATTTCCAGACCACAGAATCTTGAAGTACTTGAGGGTGAAAAGGCAGAGTTTGTCTGCTCTGTTTCTAAAGAAGCTTTTGAAGTACAGTGGGTTAAAAATGACAAAATTCTTCAAGCTGGAGATAAATATGACATAATTTCTGATGGCAAAAAGCGAATTTTGGTTGTTAAAGATGCAGTGCCTAAAGAAGATGAAGGAGCTTATGCAGTCATGATAGGACAATCCAGGGCACCAGCAGAACTGACAGTAATTGGTAAGCTAATATAAAACTAGCATGCAAATTTTTTTTTGTCAGTGACTTCCAATTATGTGTGAAATTTGGCAATGGGTAAAGTGGTCCACATAGAAGGTGTACATGAAATTGTGCAGCGTAAGTGCTGAACATACTTAAACTAAACAGAAAACTTTTTTGTATTTTGGATAGAGTAACCCTGTCAGGTTTTTTCCCATGTTGCCACCAGGGTTACCAGAACCAGAGTCCGTATTTGAATATTTCCTCCTCCATTTCTATTCTAGGGACAACCCAAAAACTTAGCATTTTTTTCACTTTCAATCGTAATGGTAAACATGAAAAATAGAGGGTGAATCTCCCTAATGTGGACAGACATCAGTAAAAACCTGCCAGGTTTCTAATCCCTCTTCACTCTATCCAAAACGAAAAAAAAAAAGTTTGCCTTTAATTATACATTATGTTCTAATGTAAGGATACTCAGTGATTCTATTCTTATAAGCACTCTGAGATTACGTCTTGCAAGTACGTGATGCCAAAATTAATGTACAACTGATATCAGATTATTTGTAATGTTTTCTTATATGGTTTAAGCTTTTTTTCATTGTTCTAATAACTGACCTTCAATGTCAATATTTATGTATGCATTTTACTATTTATGACTCTGATGTGAGAGTTTTTGCTCTGCAGCTTCTATAAAAAGGATTTCATATATAAAAATGTTAATATTTGAATAACACAATCTGTACTCTTCTTCAGCATCTCCAATAGGTATGGTTTACAATAGTTGTTAATTTTCATCCAAACACTTTTAATTAATAATATAATTGATTTGGCTCAGCGATACAGTAGGGAAATATAGAGTTGCATATGTGAGACATGCAAATGTATGTTCTTATTTTTAATTCGGAATTTTACATTACAGAGAGACTCAGGATTGTTACTCCTCTAAAGGACCAACAAGTCAAAGAAGGACAAGAACTTGTCTTTAACTGTGAAGTCAATACAGAAGGAGCCAAAGCCAAGTGGTTCAAAAATGATGAAGCAATATTTGATAGTCCAAAATATATTATGGTACACAAAGATCTGGTGTATACTCTTAGAATCAGGGATGCTCAGTCAGATGACCAAGCCAATTACTCTGTTTCGTTGACAAACCACAGGGGTGAACATGTCAAGTCTGCAGCCTCTCTAACAGTAGTTGGTAAGTAACTACTACTACTGCAGAATTGTAACAAGCCATCCCTCAAGGTTAGATGGCATAGAGCTAAATTATACAAAACATTTCTATTGCAGAGGAGGACTTGAGAATTGTTGAACCTATTGAAGATATTGAAACAATGGAGAAGAAGTCAGTCACATTCTGCTGCAAAGTTAACCGTCCAAATGCAACTGTCATGTGGATGAAGAATGGCCAAGAAATTGTTCTGGACAGAAGAGTCCTGTATAAGGTTGACAAGTACAAGCATTCTCTTATCATAAAGGACTGTGGATTTGTGGATGAAGGAGAGTACACAGTCATTGCTGGACAAGACAGAGCAGTAGCTGAACTCTTGATCACAGAAGCTCCAGCAGATTTTGTTCAACATCTCCAAGACCAAACTGTTATTGAGTTTGAGGATGCTGTTTTCACTTGCCAGCTCTCAAAAGAGAAAGCAGCTGTGAAGTGGTACCGAAATGGCCGGGAACTTAGAGAGAACAAAAAGTGAGGAAACATTTTAAGATATATTTTTTGTTTATATCACCTTGTTCATAGTTATCGTCTCATTTTCTTAACTCATCCTATATCTTTGTAAAGGTATCAATTTGAAAAAGATGGAAGCCTCCACAGACTTATTATTAAAGACTGCAGACCAGAGGATGAATGTGAATATTCTTGTGGAGTAGACGAGAGAAAATCAAGAGCAAGACTTTTTGTTGAAGGTAAGGAAACAGTTTGTCTCTGTGCTGGTGCAAATTCAATATAATGAGATTTTTCTACATATGTATTGTATTCTTTCCTTTTTTTCCAGAAATCCCAATTGAGATTATCCGACCACCTCTTGATATTTTTGAAGCTCCAGGCTCTGATGTTATCTTTGAGGCTGAGCTAAATAAGGACAGAGTAGAGGTGAAATGGCTCAGAAATAACATGATCATTGTCCAGGGAGACAAACATCAAATGATGAGTGAAGGAAAGGTTCATAGGCTACAAATTTGTGAAATTAGACCCCGTGATCAGGGAGAATACAGATTTGTTGCTAAGGATAAAGATGCCAGAGCAAAACTTGAGCTAGCAGGTATAGTATATTTATATATATATATATGTATGCATGTCAGACATTATAATGAGACATACACAAATGAAAGCAAGCTCAAAATACAAGTGTAACATTGTCAATTTCATTTAAATCTGGTGGTATGCATGTATATATTTTATGCAAAGTTTCTATTCTTTGTTTACTTTTCCAGTTAAATTAAGCATATTATTGTTAATTTTAATAATGTTATTTCAATGAAGTGATATCAGTCACTGTTTTAATATATGCTCCTTGATTATTAACAGCTGTACCAAAGATAAAGACAGCCGATCAGAACATTGTAATCGATGCAGGAAAGCCACTTACAATGTCTGTGCCATATGATGCCTATCCAAAAGCAGAAGCTGAATGGCGTAGAGCAGGTGAAACTTTATCTGATGTACATGTGGATACTACAACAAATGCAACAAGCTTCAGGATTCCTGAAACAAAGAAAGCAGACAAGGGTCATTACACAATCATCCTTCAAAACAAACATGGCAAGGCGGAGGCACACATTAACCTAGATGTTATTGGTACGTTGTATCTGCCAGTACCTTAACAAAAATTTAAGCAACATTATTTTTGTTGCCAGTATGGCTTAGGTCTTTTTTCTACATTTATTTCAGATGTCCCTGGACCTGTCAGAAATCTAGAAGTGATTGACACATATGATGGGGAAGTCAGCTTGGCTTGGGAAGAACCAGGGTCAGATGGTGGCAGCAAAATTACTGGTTATATTGTTGAAAGGAGAGACATCAAGCGTAAGACTTGGGTCCTTGTTACTGACCATGCAGACAGCTGTGAATACACTGTCACTGGACTCCAAAAGGGAGGTGTAGAATATTTGTTCCGTGTCAGTGCCAAAAACAGAGTTGGTGCTGGTGAACCTGTGGAAACAGACAAACCTGTTGAAGCAAGAAGCAAGTTTGGTAAGTACAATGTGAAATATGCACCATATCTAGTTGATTTTATAAGGCTTTTTTTTATCTGCAAATGTAATATTGATTTTAATCTATTTTACAGATGTTCCTGGACCTCCTCTCAATGTGGCCGTTTGCAATGTCAATCGCTTTGGTGCATCACTGACTTGGGAGCCACCAGAGTATGATGGCGGAGCTGAAATAACAGCTTTACATTATTGAGCTGCGTGACAGAGCTTCTATCAAATGGGACACAGCCATTATCACCAAGCCAGATGAACTGGGAGCCACTCTCAATGATGTTGTGGAGAACAAAGAATACATTTTTAGAGTCAGAGCTGAAAACCAAGCTGGAATTGGCAAACCCAGTGCTGCTACACCTGCTGTTAAGATCAGAGATCCAATTGGTATGTATATATACGATCATGTATTGCACTTTAAAGTGGTAAGGGAATTTGTACTACTGGAAAAGGTGATGTGCTGCCAGAGAGGCTGCCGAGAAGGATTGTCATTGACTTGTTTTATACTATTTTAAAGGGGTAATATTAAGCCCTTTGTTTCATGCGAGTTCAACTCAGTCCATTTAAATAAGCTAAGCCCACAATCTGTGTATTAAATCCCACCCCTTTTGCATATGCATGTTGTAAAAAGGTTAGTGTCATTGTGGCATAGTCACAGACAAACAGTAGGGAGGCACACTAGTTTGAATGGGGTCTCAAACATGATACTATCAAAATACAATAGAACCTTCATTACTAGAAGAACTATATTGTGCTACCTGTCTTATCCCTTTCATAGCATTTGCTCGCTAGTAACACACTCATGCACTATCAATGCTATAAAACTAACTGTGAAAGTCATATTTCATAGTTCATAGACACTCTTTAGAATTTTGTCTTTCCTCTGCACTACAAACGTCAGTGCGATTGACAGATTCATGTCAGGAAAAGGTACATGAATCTCTTGCATAGGGTCTTGAGTACCCCTTGTTAGGTAGAATACTGCTTCTGATATGATTATTCGCATATGGCCACTGCACAATGATGTCACCAGCATCCACCTTCCTTTGTTCACTTTTAGCTGTAGGCCAGGAAATCTCCTTTGTGGCAGCTGAATGGGGCCTGGGATGAGTTATCTGCTGCTACGACACTGGCAGCCACTAATATCACAGCAACCAGGGAACTCTATGTCAGCAGCTGTCATATTTATGACAGCTTCCCAGCATGAAATGCCCCACTCTGAGCACTGGAATCTATCTGTACGTCAACATAGAGTTGGCCAACTTCTTTTAGAATCCGCCACAGTGATAGTGACAAATTCTAAAAGTGGTGTTATTAAGAGCTAACTGAATTTGGCACGGGTCAGAAAGCTTTGTGAAACTGTTGCAAGGCATTCCTGAATTAGGTGCAGGCCACTTTAATTGGGCCAAAAACATTGTAACATCTTTATTAAATATGCCCTATGTGTCTTTTTTAGAAAAACCAAGCCCTCCAATCAACTTGACTCATTCAAATCAAACCAAGTCCTCTGTTCAGCTCATATGGGAGCCTCCTCTTCAGGATGGTGGAAGCCCAGTATTAGGCTACATTATTGAACGATGTGAAGAGGGCACTGACAAATGGATACGTTGCAACGTGAGACTGGCTCCTGATCTTACATACCAGGTACATTCCAATTTCTCTTTTCCGGTACTACTCAAAGTTTTACAAAATAAGCAAATTACACTAAACAGAATTTAAACCATAACCACCAGAACCATTATCTTGGAGTATTTGTATTTATTACAAATACTCTAAATGCCGTTTTAGAGAATACTCCAAGATTTATAGAGAACTTTCAATTCTGTAGATTGTTCCAATCTATTAACTGAATCATTAAATCTATATATATAATATTTTTCAGTAATTTTAGTTGCACAAATTCTTAACTTTATTATGGTATATCTTAAATAATTAGGTAACTGGTCTTAAGGCTGGAGCAAACTATTACTACAGAGTCTCTGCAGAAAATGCAGCTGGCATATCAGATCCTACAGAAAGCTTGGGACCTCTTACAGCAGATGATCCTCACAGTAAGTTTTAGTGCTTATTTTCATTAAAGTAGCAGTGAATTTGAGTTGTGCAATTTGTAAAATTGTTCCATTCATTTTATTTTTGCAGCACCACCTACTCTGGACTTAAGTGCCTTCAAAAAGGGTCTGGAAGTAATTGTCCCTGAACCCCTCAAAATACGTGTTCCAATCAAAGGCTATCCTACTCCAGCAGCAGTATGGTCAGTGAATGAAACAGTCTTGGAAAGCAATGAACGTGTAAAGATAGAGACCACCTCTGCCTTTGCAGAACTTATCATTTCCCCAAGTGAACGCCCTGACAAAGGAATCTACACATTAGAGCTGACAAACCCTGTAACATCAGTGTCTGGAGAAATTGATGTGAATGTTATTGGTAAGAGCTAGTGTTACTTCTTAAAAAGGTTATTTGTTTGTATATTTAAAATAAATTAACTTTCAGAAACTTTATTTTAGCTCATCCAAGTGCTCCTAGAGAACTCAAAGTTGGGGATCTTACAAGAAGCTCTGTCAATCTTTCCTGGGAAGCTCCTGAGAATGATGGTGGCAGTCCTCTCACTGGGTACCTTATTGAGAAACGAGAAGTCAACCGCAAGACTTGGGCTAGGGTATGTATTGTCTTCTGTATTAATGGTGTATTTTATTTGACTATCTACAGAGCTTTCTAACAAAACGTTCCCAGTCCAAATATTGCTGACTTTCAAACAGATAAAGGACCTGTGTTGACAGGTTTTGGGCTTGTGTCGATGGGTAGATGCACCTTGCTTTTGACATTAGTTTGAGATGCTTCTAAAATACTTCAGAATTCATTAACAGGTGCATTTGACCTGCAGTTGACCTGCTTCAACCTTCTTTTGACCTACTGCCTCTTCTTTTGTATTCCCTACACTTGATGGGGAGAGAAGCAGTTCATCGACACAGGCCCAAAACAACATAAAGTAATATATTTAATCTGCAGCTTCCTGCTATAGCTGTAGTACTAATGATACAATTTTCCATACACCAGTACTATATTGCTATATCACTAACTTATAATATATTATAGGTTATGGACAATATAATCGACCAAGAATTCACCATTTCTGACCTTATCCAAGGCAAGGAATATCTTTTCAGAGTGTCCGCATGTAACAAGTGTGGACCAGGAGAACCTGCATACATCGATGAGCCAGTAAACATGTCTGCACCAGCAAGTAGGTGGAAGTTCATTTGTTGCTCTAAAGCAAAAAAGATGTATACACACTATATATTTATATGTTTAAGACAGCAGTGGTCAAGTAAAATTAGGGTCCTAGACAAATGGTTGCTTGTTTATTTAATTTTCTTATGCCTGTTTTATAACTTTTAAATTTAGTTGTAATGTGTTGGCACACTGAGTATACCTGCCTAAATTACTTAGATATTATATTTCTCTGTTTATTAAAACCTGCTCTGTTTGACATTTCTTGATATAGCTGTTCCTGACCCACCTGAAAATGTTAAATCAAGAGATCCAACAGGAAAAGGAATCTTCCTTACTTGGGAACCACCAAAATATGATGGTGGTTCACGTATTAAGGGATATATTGTGGAGAAATGCCAGCGTGGCACAGACAAATGGGAAATTTGTGGTGATTCTGTTGTAGAAACAAAGTAAGAATGAGTGGCCACAAGAATTATTTAGAACATTTTTAAGCAATGCATTGATACTGGTGATTCTAAAATGTTACAATGTCCCCACTTTATAGGTTCCAAGTTGACAATCTTACAGAGGGGCAGTGGTATTCCTACCGTGTAAAGGCACTTAACAGACTTGGTGCCAGTAAACCAAGCAAGATAACAGATGATATACTAGCTACAGATCCCAAAGGTATGAAATAGTTTAATTATGAGTATCTAATGATATATTGTGAAAAACAATGTGAAAAACAATTACTTTATATGTATATACAGTATTTGCATTTCTCATACCACTGTCTGTTTGTTCATGCAGAGGCTCCAGAAATTTTCCTGGATGTTAAACTGCTTGCTGGTTTAACAGTGAAGGCTGGAACCAAAATTGAATTACCTGCCACAATTAACGGAAAGCCAGAGCCAAAAATAACATGGAGCAAAGCAGACACTCTTTTAAGAGTTGACAAGAGGATAAACATTGAATCCAAGCCTGGACATTCTACAGTTATCATTACTGAGAGTACACGAAGTGACTTTGGAACTTACATTATTGAAGCCATAAACACCTCTGGCCGCGCTACAGCAGTTGTTGAGGTTAATGTTCTAGGTATGCTCTGTCTAAACCCTAACAAATCTTTGACTTTATAATCAAAATATGTGACAATATATGTGCGTTTTGTGATCTGCAGCATACTTTATAATAATTTTGCTTTTATGTACTCAGATAAACCTGGACCTCCTGCTGCTTTTGATATTTCTGAAATAACCAATGAATCTTGCGTGCTGACATGGAATCCTCCTAGGGACGATGGTGGATCCAAGATCACAAACTACATCCTTGAACAGAAAGCAGCAGGAAGCGAAATCTGGCACAAATTGTCTTCAACCATTAAAGAAACTCGATATAAGGCTACAAAACTGACACCTCTTAAGGAATACATATTCAGAGTCAGTGCTGAAAACATGTATGGCATTGGAGAGCCAGTCCAGTCCAGTTCTCTCTCCATGGTGGCCAAATATTCATTTGGTAAGAAAGTACTGATCTTCTATATGATATTGTCTGGCTTCTAAGCTTTTAGTACCATAGAGAATCTCACAATAGTTATACTGTTTCTTTTTTGCAGATCCACCTGGCCCACCAACTCGACTTGAGCCTTCTGACATTAGTAAAGATGCAGTTACATTGACCTGGAATGAGCCAGATGAAGATGGTGGAAGTCCCATTACGGGATACTGGGTTGAAAGGCAGGATCCAGAAACAGGAAAATGGATCAGATGCAACAAGAATCCAGTGAAAGATCCTACATACAGGTACACATCCTTTGGCAAGCTGAACACAATCACTTTATTCAAAACAGAGTAAAGTGCATCCAGAAAGTATTCACAGCGCTTAACTTTTGCCACATTGTTATGTTACAGCCTTATTCCAAAATAGATTCAATTAATTTTGTTCCTCAACATTCTACAAACAATACCCCATAATGACAACATGAAAGAAGTTTGTTTTGCAATCTTTGCAATTTATAAAAAATAAAAAAAACGAAAAAAAAACACATGTACATAAGTATTCACAGCCTTTGCCATGACACTCAAAATTGAGCTCTGGTGCATTCTGTTCCCACTGATCATCCTTGAGATGTTTCCACAACTTAATTGGAGTCCACCTGTGAGAAATTCAGTTGATTGGACATAATTAGGAAAGGCATAAACCTGTCTATATAAGGTCCCACAGTTAACAGTGCATGTAAGAGCACAAACCAAGCGATGAAGTCCAAGGAATTGTCCGTAGACCTCTGAGACAGTATTGAGGATCTGGGGAAGGGTACAGAAAAATTTCTGCAGCATTGAAGGTCCCAACGAGCACAGTGGCCTCCATCATCTGTAAATGGAAGAAGTTTGGAACCACCAGGAATCTTCCTAGAGTGGGTTACCTGGCCAAAATGAGCGATTGAGGGAGAAGGGCCTTAGCCAGGGAGGTAACCAAGCACCCGATGGTCACTCTGAAAGAGCTCCAGCATTTCTTGGTGGAGAGAGGAGAACCTTCCAGAAGAACAACTATCTCTGAAGCACTCCAGCAATCAGGCCTGTATGGTAGAGTGGCCAGAAGCTACTCCTCAGTTAAAGGCAAATGGCAGCCAGCCTGGAGTTTGCCAAAAGGCACCTGAGGGACTCTCAGACTATGAGAAACAAAACTCTCTGGTCTGATGAAACAAAGATTGAACTCTTTGGCCTGAATGCCAAGCATCATGTCTGAAGGAAGCCAGGCATCGCTCACCACCTGGCCAATACCATCCCTACAGTGAAGCATGGTGGTGGCAGCATCATGCTGGGAGGATGTTTTCAGCAGCAGGAACTGGGAGACTAGTCAGATGAAAGGAAATATGAACGCAGCAATGTACAGAGACATCCTTGATGAAAACCAGTTCCAGAGCGCTCTGGACCTAAGACTGGGTCGACGGTTCATCTTTCAACAGGACAACAACCCTAAGCACACAGCGCACATAACAAAGAAGTGACTACAGGCCAGCTCTGTGAATGTCCTGAAGTGGTCCAGCCAGAGCCCAGGCTTGAACCCGATTGAACATCTCTGGAGAGATCTGAAAATGGCTGTGAACTCCCCATCCAATCTGATGGAGCTTGAGAAGTACTGCAAAGAAGAAAGGGAGAAATTGCCCAAAAATAGGTGTGCAAAGCTTGTAGCATCATACTCAAATTACTTGAGGCTGTAATTGGTGCTAAAGGTGCTTCAACAAAGTATTGAGTAAAGGCTGTGAACACTCATGTACATGTGTTTTTTGTTTTTTTGTTAATAAATTGCAGATACTTTCTGGATGCACTGTATTTTAAATAATTGCAGATCATTATTTAGAACTCTGTGTTTAACAATTTTGTGAACTGGAAATTCTATTTTGTAACAGAGTCAAAGGCCTTACCAACAAAAAGAAGTATCAGTTCCGTGTTCTGGCTGAAAATCTTGCTGGTCCTGGAAAACCAAGAGAGAAACTGATCCAATCCTAATAAAAGATCCAATTGGTATGTTTATTTTAAGTGTACACAATAACATGCTTTCAACTTACCTTTTACAGTTAGTCTATGGTATATTTATTTACTTTTTATTTTTTGTGTTCTAGATCCACCTTGGGCACCAGGAAAACCAACTGTTAAAGATGTTGCCAAGACATCCGCCTTCTTGAACTGGCTGAAACCAGAGCATGATGGTGGTGCCAAAATTGAGTCCTATGTTATTGAACTGCTGAAGACAGGAACCGATGAGTGGGTCAGAGTGGCAGAAGGTGTCCCTACCACAGAGCACTTTTTGAAAGGCCTCATGGAGAAGCAGGAGTATTCGTTTAGAGTAAGAGCTGTAAACAAGGCTGGAGAAAGTGAACCTAGTGAGCCAAGTGATCCAGTGCTTTGCAAAGAGAGACTGAGTAAGTTTTCCTTTGTTACCCTCAATACTGCAGTTTTACATTTCATACCAGTGGAAAACGTTTTTGTGTGGCTTGGTTATTTTTATGCCTTTGGATTATTATTTTGAAAATATTCAGTGTTTCATCGATGTCATTAATGATTTGTGTTTTACAATCTTTATTTTAGATCCACCTTCTCCACCTCGTTTCCTTGAGGTTATTAACATAACAAAGAATACAGCAGATCTTAAATGGACTCCACCTGAAAGAGATGGTGGCTCTCCAATCACTAACTACATTGTTGAGAAGAGAGATGTTAGGCGCAAAGGCTGGCAGACAGTAGACACCACTGTAAAAGAAACTAAATGCTCAGTGACCCCTCTGTCTGAAGGCTCCCTTTACGTATTCCGTGTTGCAGCTGAAAATGCAGTCGGACAAAGTGACTATTGTGAGCTGGAGGACTCAGTACTGGCCAAAGATACTTTTAGTAAGTTAACTCATGTTTGTTATATTTATATCACATAATTAATTTTATTTTAACTTTAATAAAAGTTTTTTAATTGCATTATTGTGTACAAAACACATCTTATTAAACACTTCTGCTTTCCAGCTACACCTGGACCACCATATGCACTCACAGTGGTAGATGTAACAAAGAGACATGTGGAACTGAAATGGGAAGCCCCAAAGAATGATGGTGGAAGACCTATTCAAAGGTTAGTTATCAGGAAAATACACACATTTGAATGTTTTTCCCACTAAAGTATACTGCAAAGCATAATCATCATCTCATTTTACATTCAGATATGTTATTGAAAAGAAAGAGAAGCTAGCCACACGTTGGGTGAAGGCTGGCAGAACTACTGGACCAGAGTGCCATTTCAAAGTAACAGATGTTATTGAGGGCACAGAAGTTCAGTTCCAAGTTCGTGCAGAGAATGAAGCCGGAGTTGGTCACCCAAGTGAACCTACAGACATGTTGGCCATTGAAGACCCAACAAGTGCGTAATGGCACTGCAGGATATGTCAAATTCCACACTGAGTAAGAATTTAAAGTTATTATTTATATATAAATTTCTCTTTCTGTTTTTAAGGTCCCCCATCACCACCACTTGAGCTACATGTTACTGATGCCAGTAGAAACCACATCTCCATTGCTTGGAAGCCTCCAGAAAAGAATGGTGGCAGCCCTATCATTGGATACCATGTTGAAGCATGCCCAGCTGGCACTGAAAAGTGGATGAGGATCAATTCACGACCAATTAAGGACTTGAAATACAAAGCTGAAGAGGGTATTATCCCTGATAAAGAGTATATCCTTCGTGTCAGAGCTGTTAATGCTATCGGTGCTAGTGATCCATCTGAAATTTCAGAGAATGTCTTCGCTAAAGACCCAGATTGTAAGTTTATTTTCTTCTACTTAATTTTTGATGTTTAAAAACAATATAGTTCTTTTCTTCTAAATAATTTCTTTGATCTTCTGACAGGTAACCCAACCATTGACTTGAAAACTCAAGATATAGTTGTGGTAGAAGGAGAAAAACTTACTATTCCAGTGCCATTCAGATCTGTGCCTGCACCAACTATCAACTGGCATAAGGATGGTAAAGAAATCAAAATAGCTGACAGAGTTTCCGCCAAGAGTGACTACACCTCTGCCACTCTAGATGTTTCTAATGTTGTTCATGGAGATGCTGGAGTCTATACAATTACACTGGAAAACAAGATAGGCTCAACCACAGGATCAATCAATGTTAAAGTAATAGGTAACGGTTGCTGATTTATAAACAATAAAATTAATAAATGTTTAAAAATAAACATATTAATTAGGTTATGTCTTGCATTTTAAAGGACTACCTGGTCAATGTAAAGAGATCAAAGCAGATGACGTTACCAAGAATTCATGTAAAGTATCTTGGGAGCCTCCAGAATATGATGGCGGAACTCCTATTCTGCACTATGTGCTTGAACGCAGAGAAGCTGGAAGACGAACATACACACCAGTGATGTCTGGAGAGAACAAACTTACATGGAATGTTAAAGATCTGATACCTAATGGAGAGTACTACTTCAGAGTCAAAGCTGTAAATAAGATTGGTGGAGGAGAATATCTTGAACTCAGAAACCCCATCATCGCAGAAGATGCTAAGCGTAAGTCATGTTTTGATTATCTGTAGAAAACTAAAGTACATAATATAATATTATATATATATAATTTTGCATTTTTTTTTTTTGTTTGCATTATTCTACAGAGCGCCCAGATCCACCTGTGGATGTTGACACTCATAATCCAACTTCAAAGACCATAACCCTCACCTGGAAACCTCCTCAGTATGACGGAGGCTGCAAGATCATGGGATACATAGTTGAGAAGCTACCTAAAGATGGTGAAAAGTGGGAACGATGCAATGACTCTCTTGTGCCTGTTCTGTCTTACACTGTTAAAGGTTTGGAAGAAGGAAAAGAATACCAGTACCGAGTACGTGCAGAAAATATAGCTGGTGTTAGTGAGCCTTCTCGTGCAACTCTAGGAATTAAAGCTGCGGATCCCATGGGTATGACAAGGAAATATTGAAAACTTGTTAAGTTCTCAAAATACAACAGGCCACATAAGCACTAATATATATATACATTTTTTATTTTTTTTTTCAGATCCTCCAAAAGTTTTCCTTTCAGGCAGTTTGCAGTCTGGACTTTCAGTCAGACAAGGAGATGAAATTGATTTGAACGCACATATCACTGGTTCGCCATATCCAACAATTACATGGCTTAGAAATGACGAGGTAATAAGACCAGAGGAGATAAAGAAGAGAGTGGATAAAATAGTACCTAGGAGGAAAAAGGAAGCGGTCATAGATGAGCCATTTCACCTCAGCCTGCCAGAGCGCTTGACCGTTGACAACAGCAGACAAGGAGAGTCTGAGCTGTCTGTCAGAGACTCAATTCGTGGGGATCATGGCACATTCACTATAAAGGTTGAAAATGACCATGGTGTTGCCAAGGCTTCATGTGAAGTAAATGTGCTAGGTATGCAAACCTTTGCATTGCTGAAGTATGACTGATACAAGCATCATTAACATATGTTACTCCTTCCAGTACAGTGCCTTCTATTACAATATAGTAATTTTGATAACAGTTTTTATCTTGCTTTTCAGATTTACCTGGACCTCCTGTGAATTTTACATTTGAAGAAGTGAGGAAAAACTCTGTTATATGCAACTGGGAGCCTCCGCTGGATGATGGTGGTAGTGAAGTCTTGAACTTTATCTTAGAGAAGAAGGATAATTCCAAGGCTGAAATTGGCTGGGTGATTGTGACGTCCACATCTAGACACTGCAAATATCCAGTCACTAAACTAATTGAAGACAAGGAATACATTTTCCGTGTAACAGCTGAAAATAGATTTGGTCCCGGACCCCCATGTGTCTCTCAGCCTCTCCTTGCTAAAGATCCATTTAGTAAGCATATTCTTCCTGCAGTAGGGATTTTTATATAATATTTAAATAAAAAATAGGAAATATGCTTTTACCAAGAAAGCAGAAATTAGCTGATGCTTGTATTTATCTACAGCTCCTCCAGACGCACCAGAAAAGCCTGAACTTGACGATGCTACAGCCAACAGTATGCTGGTCAAATGGCAGGAGCCCAAGGACAATGGAAGTCCAATTTTGGGTTACTGGATTGAGAAACGTGAAATTAACAGCACTCATTGGGCTCGTGTTAACAGGAACCTGATCAATGCTCTTGAAACCCGAGCTGATGGCCTTCTGGAGGGTCTTACATACATTTTTAGAGTGTGTGCAGAAAATGCAGGTGGTCCTGGAAAGTTCAGTGTGCCATCTGATCCAAAGACTGCACAAGATCCAATATGTGAGTAACATACTGCACAAAATCAAAAATATTTTTTTGCTGTAAGTAGTTCGTTACCCCCTTATATTTTTCTCTTTATAATAGTGCTTCCAGGACCACCAGCTCCAAGAATTATGGACACAAGTTCATCTTCTATTGAGTTAGAATGGGATCCTCCTCTTTATAATGGTGGTGGAGAGATTACTGGCTACTTTGTTGACAAACAGCTCATGGGCAGCAAAGAATGGTCACGCTCCACAGATAGGCCAATTAAAATCCGCAAATACACAGTTAAAGGTATTAGAGAGGGAGCGGATTACAAAGTCCGTGTGAGCGCTGTGAATGCAGCTGGAGAAGGGCCTCCAGGTGTAACTGAACCCATTACAGTGCTAGAACCACAAGGTATGTTTTTGTTATTTCTTGCAAATAAAATATGATGGTGATTTAGCATTATTTTCTGTATTCCATGCTTAGGAGATATGAAACCACAGCTTTTTTTAATTTAACTTTAGAACCACCGGTTGTTGAATTGGACCTTTCAGTAAGAGATGGTATTCAAATTCTGGCTGGCCAGACTCTAAAGATTCCTGCCACTGTCTTTGGACGTCCTGCACCTAAAATTGAATGGACAATAGAAGAGGGAGAACTGAACAAAGAGAAAGCCGAAATAATTAACGAGGGCAACTCATCTGTACTTACAATTGCAAGTGCAGAAAGAAAAGACCATGGAAGATACATTATCACTGCTAGCAATGAAAGTGGTACCAAATATGCTGCAACAAGAGTTGAAATCTTTGGTAAGAAATTCAGTTTCATTTTGCTGGAAAAGATAAGCTAACACAATGATACATTGCTTACATTGTTCTTGTTTTCCAGATGTCCCTGGGCCAGTAACTGAGCTAAAACCTGTAGTGGTTAACAGAAAGATGGCTTTACTTAACTGGTCTGATCCTATTGATGATGGTGGTAGCGACATCACAGGCTTCATAATCGAAAGGAGGGATGCCAAAATGCACATTTGGAGACAGCCAATTGATACAGAAAGATCTAAGTGTGACATTACAGGTCTTCTAGAAGGACAAGAATATATGTTCCGTGTCATTTGTAAAAACAAGTTTGGCTGGGGTCCACCTGTGGAATTGGGGCCAATTCTTGCTGTTGATCCACAAGGTAAAATAAAATAGGAATCTTTTTCTTTACAACAGTCATATTTTTACCATCAGCAACAATGTGAATGTTAGATTGACTTTATTTTGTATTTGAACAATACCTCACAAGCATTTTTTTTTATTGTAGGTCCTCCTGGTTCACCAGAAAGATTCACCTACACTGAAAGAACAAAGTCATCAGTCACACTGGACTGGAAACCTCCTCGTAATGATGGTGGTAGCCCTATTATAGGCTATATCATTGAAAAACGACGACATGATGCCACAGAGTTTGAAAGATGCAATAAAAGGCTGGTTCCAGAGACTTCCTTCTTAGTAGAGAACCTTGCAGAACTGCACATGTATGAATTCCGTGCCAAAGCTGTCAATGATATTGGTGAAAGTGAACCTTCTCTGCCTCTCAACGTGGTTATTCAAGATGATGAAGGTATATCCTACAATTAGAGCTATACACTGTAGTTAGTTATAGCCAAAGTAGAAGTTTGCTATTATGTTTATTTTTTTGTTGGTCTGTCTAATCTGTGGAGAATAACACAGTCATGATAAAGTCAATCAAAATCCATGAATTGCATGATTCATTGGCAGTTGGATAATTCAGTATCTTTGTCACATATTGTGATAAATGAAAATGCGCAAGTTACATATTCACATGTTTTGCAAATAGATGTATATATTGCTATAATAAAATAATCTTAAATGTAATTAAAATATTTGACAAATAGTCATTCAGTATAATATTTCCTTCCTAGTTCCCCCTACTATTACTCTTCGCTTGGCTGTCAGAGGTGACACCATTAAAGTTAAGGCAGGAGAACCTGTCAACATCCCAGCGGAAATCAGTGGTCTTCCAATGCCAAAGATCGAATGGTCCAAAAATGAGGTAGTTATTGAAAAGGTACCACCATCTATGAAGATTGAAAAACAAGAACTTTCAAGAACTGATGCTAAATCAGAGGTTAGCATTCCCAGTGCCCAAAGGAGTGATAAGGGAACCTACACAATTACAGCTTCAAATCGCCTCGGAGCTGCAAACCGTTCTGTCAATGTGGAGGTCTTTGGTAAATATATTATTTCAGTTTCTATAAACAAATTTTTTTTTTTTTTCTCTTATAAAACTTTTTTTAATTACTTTATTTAACTAGACCGTCCTTCACCGTCAAGAAACCTGCAAGTGACTGACATCAAAGCTGAATCCTGCTACTTGATTTGGGATGCACCATTAGATAACGGTGGAAGTGAAATTACCAACTATATAATTGATAAGCGAGATGCAAGCAAGAAGAAGTCAGAATGGGAAGAGGTTTCCAACATTGTAGTTGACAGAAGATATGGCGTAAGTTGATAATTTATGATAACAGATTGGTCATCCTTTCCTCTTGGTATATATCCATAGTAATAAGTAGTCCTCATTTAAATTTTGTTTATTCATTATTTCAATATTTTTAAAGCCACTACAAAGCATTCAAATTATGATAATAACTACAGTGAAGGAAATAAGTATTTGATCCCCTGCTGATTTTGAATGTTTGCCACTCACAAAGAAATGATCAGTCTAAAAATCGAATGGTAGGTGTATTGTAACACTGAGAGACAGAATAGCAACAAAAAATTCAAAAGAAATGCATGTCTAACACATTATGCACTGATTTGCATGTTCATGAGGGAAATAAGTATTTGATCTCCTTCACAAAACATGACTTAGTACTTGGTGGCAAATCCCTTTTTGGCAATCACAGAGGTCAGACATTTCCTGTAGTTGGCCACCAGGTTTGCACACATCTCAGGAGGGATTTGGCCCACTCCTCTTGGCAGATCCTCTCCAAATCATTAAGGTTTGGTGGCTGACATTTGGCAACTCGAACTTTCAGCTCCCTCCATGGGATTAAGGTCTGGAGACTGGCTAGGCCACTCCAAGACCTTAATGTGCTTCTTCTTGAGCCACTCCTTTGTTGCCTTGGCCATGTGTTTTGGGTCATTGTCATGCTGGAACACCCATCCACGACCCATTTTCAATGCCCTGGCTGAGGGAAGAAGGTTCTCACCCAAGATTTGACGGTACATTGCCCCATCCATCATCCCTTTGATGCTGTGCACTTGTCCTGTCCCCTTAGCAGAAAAACACCCCCAAAGCAGAATGTTTCCACCGCCATGTTTGACAGTTGGGATGGTGTTCTGGGGTCATAGCCAGCATTCATCCTCCTCCAAACACGGCGAGTTGAGTTGATGCCAAAGAGCTCAATTTTGGTCTCATCTGATCACAACACTTTCAACCAGTCCTCCTCTGCATCATTCAGATGTTCAGTGGCAAATTTCAGATGGGCCTTGACATGTGTTTTCTTGAGCAGCGGGACCTTCTGGGCACTGCAAAATTTAAATCCTTGTCGGCGTAGTGTGTTACCAATTGTTTTCTTGGTGACAGTGGTCCCAGCTGCCTAGAGATCATTGACAAGATCCTCACGTGTAGTTCTGGGATGATTCCTCACTGTTCTCATGATCATTGACACTCCACGAGGTGAGATCTTGCATGGTGCACCAGACCTAGGGAGATTGATAGTTGTTTTGTGTTTCTTCCATTTGCGAATGATTGCACCAACTGTTGTCACCTTCTCACCAAGCTGCTTGGCGATAGTTTTGTAGCCCAGTCCAGCCTTGTGTAGCTCTACAATCTTGTCCCTGATATCCTTCGACAGCATTTTGGTCTTTGCCATGGTGGAGAGTTTGGAATCTTATTGTTTGATTGCTCCTGTGGACTGGTGTCTTTTATACAGATAACAAAATTAGATTAACATCACTACCTGTAAGAGACTGCTTCTAATCTCAGCTTGTTACCTGTATGAAAGAGACCTGGTAGCCAGAAATCCTGCTGAATGATAGGGGATCAAATACTTATTTCCCTCATGAACATGCAAATCAGTGCATAATTTATTAGACATGCATTTTTTTTTTATTTTTTTGTTGCTATTCTGTCTCTCAGTGTTACAATACACCTACCATTCGATTTTTAGACTGATCATTTCTTTTTGAGTGGGCAAACATTCAAAATCAGCAGGGGATCAAATACTTATTTCCTTCACTGTATATTGCCAGCTGCTGCTTGCATTTGCCAGTTAGCTGATAGTAAGTTTTTTGCTACCTAATGTTTTTCTACAATGTTTAATATATATATTATAGTAAATAGGGTACTATACACAAAGAAACCTAATTTTTATAATGCTGAGAAAAATGTATAATTGGGCAAATTATTTCTTATTATAGATCTGGAAACTCACAACTGATGGAGAATATCAATTCCGTGTTAGAGCAGTTAACAAATATGGTATCAGTGATGACTGCCTGTCTGACAAGGTGGTAATAAAGGATCCATTTGGCCTTCCTGGACCTCCAAAGAAACCTAAAGTGTCTGACTGCACCAGGTCCTCTATGCTGGTATCCTGGGAACCTCCTCTGGACAATGGGGGCTCTCCAATCACTGGCTATTGGCTGGAGAAGAGAGAAGTTGGAGGAGTATATTGGGGGCGTGTAAACAGAGCACCAGTCACTAAACCTGCTGTGAAAGGTCTAGAATTCAATGTACTGCGCTTGATTGAAGGTGTGGAATACCAATTCAAAGTTATGGCTATCAATGCTGCTGGAGTGGGCCCCCCAAGTGAGCCATCAGATCCTGCTCTGGCTGCTGATCCAATCTGTAAGTATGAGTTGAAAATCTGTAACACTCTAACACATACATTTGTAAAATTCTATACATCTCTTTAGATCACTACATAAATTTCTATTTATCTACTGTCAAATGCTTTTGAAAAAAAATCAGTTTATTTAAATAATTAGGTTAACAGCAATACCAATATACTATGACTTCTACACAGTTTAGTTTCAGAGTTCAAATATAAAAGAAGTGGATGCTTTAGAGGTTATAATAGCTGAAAACAATGCACTTTTAGGAGATTAAAGAAAAAAATTAAATTCCGGGTTTTTTTTTTTTGAATCATGCCTATGAAATATTACAGAGCGATGAAAATTTCAGTAGGGCTGTGGTTTTCATGGGAAAAAAAATCAGCAGTTTAACACTTCTGCTGCAATGCTTATAAAATCTAATATACATGCTTTGGAACCACTATATTTTTCTGTTCAGGCTCCAGTAAATAAGAAACAGGGACCTTCTTACTACTGGATGGAATGTCCCCAATGAATTAAAAAATATTATTTTCTTAGTAATCCATTTTATTTCTCTTAAATACTGTGGTGCCCAGAAGTGAAAAAAAAAAATAGGGGACAACAGTACCTCGCATTGTAAAAACACAAGGCACCATCCTCCAAAGCCTGCCTAGGACAGACACTAGCCTGCAGAGGAAAACTGAACATTTCCCCTGCTGGTTGTGTGAACCAGCCCTTAATTATAGGGCTGATTTGAAACAATTTTCAAGTATGCTGTACTAAAAATGGTTATAAAATATCACATCAAACACATTAAAAAATACAAAACACATCTTTAAAAATATATTTTGTGTTTTTGGTTACAGTTGCTCCAGGTGCTCCCTCTTGCCCAGATGTGAAAGACAAAACCAAGAACAGTGTGTCTCTTGCCTGGAAGAAACCAGAAAAAGATGGAGGCAGTCCAATCAAGGGCTACTTGGTTGAAATGCAGGAAGAAGGCAGCTCAGAATGGAAGAATGTCAATGAACCTGACAAGCTCTTTCCCACATGTGAATGTGTGGTCCCCAACCTCCAAGAACTCAAGAAATACAGATTTAGAGTTAAGGCAGTTAATTCCGCTGGTGAATCTGAGCCCAGCCTTGCAACTGGAGAAATACCTGTGAAGGAAATACAAGGTACAATAAACATAATAACTGGACCTTATTTTGTTTCATATTATTAACCTAAAGTGTATTTCCTCTTTTACAGTCAAACTTGAAAAACACTCACTATAAGTTTGCTGTGTGTCCCCCTTTATACAGCATACCTAAAAAATGATAAACAAAAATATTTCTTACATTTTTAGCTTTTCTTTGGAGAAGGTTTGTACATGAGACTCTGTAGGCACCAGTTGTTCAGAATAGCTTGCAATGTGCAATTAGGGGACAGATGTAGGGACAGTTGTTTTTTTAATGCATGAACATACAATGTGCCACCCAAGCCTTGAGATTTTTAACCCATTGTTTAGACAGACACTGTCCACATCTAGTTTACAAATGATAATGAAGATCTGCCAGCACAAAACAGACATAGTTAGTTGTGGTAAACATAACTCCCTAGCTCCTTCTTTAACATTATTTAGAAGGGGTATGCCAAGTGGATTTCTAAAGTTAATAAATTGGTAAGTAGCTATTTTTTTTTTAAAGTTATATGTTATATGAATAGTAACATGTAACAAATATAACCTAGGTATTATGCCAATTTGACTGCAAAAGTGGACATAAACGTTAAATGTGTGTTTTATTTACCCCTCCACAGAGGAGCCAGATATCTCAATTGATCTGAAGGCACAAGACTATCTGAACTGTCGTGCTGGTAGCCAAATCAAAATTTCTGCCATCATCAGAGGCCGCCCTGTACCTAAAACCTCCTGGGAGTTTGACGGTGTGGCACAGAAAGAACTTAAGGTAAAATAAGGCACAATGAGCCCCAGAAGTGGATTTTATTATAAATTACTTTATTTCTTGCCCCCATTTCCTTATACCCTGTTTTACAATGTCATTCCACCTTCTTCCACCTTCATTCCATCTTCTAAATGTAACACATACATTATAACAAGTTAGCAGTTCAGCTTGTTATACTGGCAAAACATAAATTAAAACTAAAGTAATTTTTTTTAAATGGTAAAAAATAAATTCAGAGATATACAAAGTGAAAAAAATCTATACCATCCACCTCACATAAATGTTTGTTGTGAATCTATGCAGATACTGTAGGGCCTATTTATAAATGTTTTCAAACAAGATAAACACAACTTTCGCCCAGGTTCACACATTTTTTTCCAATTGAATCCAAATAGAAAAATGTGTGAATCTTGTGTGAAAACGTTATCAATAGAACTATGTGTTTGGATATATTTGCCATAATCAAAAACATAGTAGAGGATTTCTAATAAATAATCTTACTATAAGAGATATTACTTGTCAATAGTGTATTTAAGTTGGGTTATATAAAGAAAATTTTAATTAAAGAAATGTAACAGATTTGAAGGCTGGATCCCAAAGTAATAGTTCAACTTTGGGTTGGCACTAAAAAAACTAAATAACCTGCTAGTTTTGTTTTTGACAAGAAAACAGCTAGACTTTCCCTCAACAATTCATGTTTTAACTAAGCAAAAGGCCACAAAGAAGGGCCAATTCTGGCACCACTGGAGTTTGAGGGAGAAAAGAAGCCATTATGAGATTCAACCACACTAACAATTATCAGTTAAATTTCTACTGCAACAGATTATCAGCTATTATACCATCGGCATACAACTATTTGCTCACTGGTTTTTGCATATACATGCTTGAAGTTTATATGCTTTTTTTCCCCCACATAGGATCAAATCCACAACATTCCAGTTGATTCACAGGTATGTAGTTTTTATTTTTATTTAGTATTTGTTATTTCTAGTGTTTTTCATATTTTATCTAAAAGTATAACATTTACATTTTAAAACTAAGAAAGATTAAATTGTTCTGATTTTTTTTCTTCAGGTTGAAACAACTGACACTACTTCAGTTATTATCATTCCTGCATGTAAAAGAGAACACTCTGGAAAATATAGCATCACTGCCAAGAACAAAGCTGGGCAGAAAACTGTCAATGTCAGGGTCAATGTTCTGGGTAAGATTATATAAACTGTGAAGAGTGTGAACATTGTGACAATGAATATGCAGTGCTTGTCATCTTGCCTTCAGGCAGGTATATTTAATGAATACTTTAAATTACAGATGCTCCTGGGCCACCAAAGGATCTAAAAGTTAGCGATGTAACTAGATCTACCGCTAAACTCACATGGAAAGCCCCAGATAATGATGGTGGAGACAGAATTAGGAACTACATCATTGAAAAGAAGACAGTGGAAGGAAAATCATGGGGCAAGGTTGCTACCGACTGTGCAGGCACTTCATTTACTGTACCTGACCTCATTGATGGACAGGAATATTTCTTCAGGGTAACAGCCGAAAATAGATTTGGCACTGGACCTCCAATTGCAACCATTCAAAGAACAAGAGCAAGAGATCCAATCCGTAAGTATAAATAAAATATATGTAAGATATTACATTTACAACTTTGTTCATTGATTTTGAATGCCTTGTGTCTCTACAAATGTAGGCATACTGGCATTTTTTAAACTTGACAGTTCTTTTGGTTTTGTTGTGTAAATTTGACAGTAGTTTGTGGTTTTTTTTCTATAGATCCACCTGAACCACCAACCCGACTAAAGGTTGGCCTTGTGACAAAGAATTCTGTGGCACTATCTTGGAAGCCACCAAAGAATGATGGTGGGGCACCTGTAACCCATTACATCATTGAACGCTTAGTTTGGGATCCAAGTGGAGAAGGCAAAGAAACCTGGAAGCAATGCAACAAACGGGATGTAGAAGAAACAAAATTTCATTGTTGAAGACCTGAAGGAAGGTGGAGAATATGAGTTCCGTGTCAGAGCTGTGAATGAAGCTGGACATAGCAAACCATCTTCAACTGCTGGCCCAGTAGCTGTGAAAGACCAGACATGTATGTAGTGAAACAAATTAATCTGCAATTTTAATATGCAAATTATTATACAATTATTGTATATTTATTGCTATTGCTATTTATTGCTATTGTTTCACTCGCTTTCAATAGGTCCTCCTGCAATTGAGCTTAAAGAATTTTTGGAAGCTGAAGAAGGAACAGATATCACCATTCTGGCCAAGATTAAGGGTTGCCCATTCCCCACACTGAAATGGTACAAAGCACCTCCAAACAAGCCAGATGACAAACTACCAGTGCAGTATGACCAGCATGTTAACAAAGTTGTTGGTGAAAATGACTGCACATTGGTAATTCACCAGTCTCGTAGAAAAGATACAGCCCTATACACTCTGACAGCTGAGAACAACCTGGGAGCTGATTCCAAGGAAATGAGATTGAATGTACTTGGTAATTACAGTCTTTTAATGGTTTTTTTTAGTATTTGTTTTTGCCACAAATGTCAAAGTTAGCTATTTATTTAATGCTAGTTCAAACAATTATGATGTCCTGTATGCTTCAGCATTCAACCAGAAACATGTTTTCAACATTATATCTAATTAAGTTTGGTTTCTTAAAAGTTAACAAAGATGCTCATTTACCATTTTACTAAATCCGGTTCTTAGGTTTTAATAAAGTAATCTGAAACACTCTTTTTCCTGCTTCTAACAGGACGCCCTGGACCACCAGAGGGACCAATTAAATTTGAAGCAATAACAGCAGAGAACATGACATTGGCTTGGCTCCCACCAAAAGATGATGGAGGATCTAAGATTACAAATTATGTTATTGAGAAGAGAGAAGCAAATCGTAAACTTTGGTCTCCTGTAACTAAAGAAGCTAAGGAATGCATCTACACAATACCAAGACTGATTGAGGGTCATGAATATGTGTTCCGTATTATGGCACAGAACAAATATGGAGTTGGTCTTCCACTTGACAGTGAGCCTGAAACCGCAAGAAACCTGTATTGTAAGTTTATTATTATTTGGGCATTCTATGCACAGATTAATTTTAATGCAATCATAACTGTCCATGGTTAGTCCATAATTGTCTTATGGAGTATAGTGTTCTTCAGATAGATTAGGCATTTACACTTCTAAAGAGATAAAGAGATTTTTTTTTACTAAATTAAAAATAATAAAGATTCCAATTACATAGGTATAAATGATACATGCTTATTATTTACAGTATGTAACTATTGGGAATCCTTAGTGGCACTTACACACACATACAAATATACAGTAATTTGAACTGGATGGGCCTGTGTCTTTATTCAGTCTTGTCAACTATGCTACTATTTAACACGCAGTCAAACCAAATCTATATATATATCCTGCTTCAAGTATCTAACAAAGTAATATTCATCTACCCAATCAATGAAAAAAATACTTAAAATCAGGGAATTTGGAATTCTAATGACCAGATGCATTCTTCAGTCATTGACCACCTGCATATGCATGCATATAGAGCACAGACAGTTGCAAGTGTCCTCTTCTTTTATCCAGCAGTGTTCCCTCCAAAACCAGTTTTACTGTCCAACTACAATACGTTTTCAATGGGAATAGAAACTACCTAAGCATTTAAATAAAGGAATGCTGAATCTGACTAAAATGCTATTACCCCTAAAGGCTAAGTTCACCTTTAGAAGCATGCTACATGTTACACCCATATTAAGGGTGTAACATGCTCCTTTGCCTCCTGTAACCAGCGCTTCCTGCTCTGTGACAGCAGGTAGTTGATCTTCTCCTCGCACCCGCTATCACTTTTTGAAAACAGCAATCTGTGAATAAAGAAACTTCAAGTACCATCTACCACCGTGGCAGACAGTCATGTAGTTTGAATGGACTGCGAGGGCACTGGTCAGCACGCCCATAGTTTATATTCATTCTTCCTTTAGCATTTTAACAGAGAGCTCGTAAGGGGATATGGGCACAACGCTGGAGGAAGACTGTGCAGGAGCCTGGCATTGCACCCACAATCTGCTGATCATGGCTGCAATGCTCTGCAGACTCCAATAAAAAAAATAATAAATGCACAATTTTCTACCTTTGAAAGGTGAACATATCCTTTAAATTGCCACATAATAGATAGTGATAATAATGTTTCCATAACATATGAATTTTTTGTTATTTATAGCTGTTCCAGGACAATGTGAAAAGCCATCAGTCAGCAGTGTTACACGAGATACTATGACTGTCAATTGGGAAGAGCCAGAATATGATGGTGGCTCACCTGTGACAGGCTACTGGCTGGAACTTAAAGAGACTACGGGAAAGAGATGGAAGAGAATAAACCGTGATCCAATCAAGATTATGACTCTGGGAGTTTCTTACAAAGTTACAGGACTCATTGAAGGATGTGATTATCAGTATCGTGTGCTAGCTATTAATGCAGCTGGAGTTGGACCTGCAAGTCTGCCATCTGATCCTATAACTGCAAGAGACCCAATATGTGAGTGCACTTACTCTTAGCAGATATCTATTGTTTTTTATTTGCAAAAAATATATTTTTATACGTGTATATATAATCTTTTTTATAGCTCCACCTGGACCACCAATTCCAAAAGTTACTGATTGGACAAAGTCTACTGCTGACCTAGAATGGGTTCCACCCTCTAAAGATGGTGGGTCTCCAATTACAGGATATTTTGTGGAGTACAAGGAAGAAGGAAAGGAGGAATGGGAAAAGGTTAGTTGAAGGCATTTTAAGAAAGCATGGAATAAATTAAACTATAACTATTAGAATATCTCAGTTAATTGACATTTACATTTTTAAAGGCCAAAGATAAAGAAATCAGAGGAACCAAGTTTGTTGTGCCTGGACTGAAAGAAGGAAGCTTCTATAGGTTCAGAGTAAGAGCTGTTAATGCTGCTGGTGTTGGGGAACCAGGTGATGTCACAGACGTTATTGAAGCCAAAGACAGAACAGGTATCTAACTTGAAAAACCTACAGTACCTATGTGTGACATGGTCAATATTTTTTATTTGGTTTGATTTTTTTAAATGACTACATTTATTAAATCAATATGCAATATCAATTTCTTAGTGAAATGACCTGTCAACTGCTTCTCTTCAATGTTTACAGTTCTACCTGACATTCAGTTGGATGCCAGTGTAAAAGACAGAATTGTTGTTCATGCTGGTGGAGTAATCAGAATCATAGCTTATGTTTCGGGAAAACCAGCTCCAGAAATTACATGGAACAGAGATGAAAAACCTTTGCCCCCAGAGGCTGCTATTGAAACAACAGCTATCAGTTCATCTTTGGTCATTAAGAAATGCCTGAGGAGTCACCAAGGCATGTATACTCTGGTTGCCAAGAATGCTGGTGGTGAAAGAAGAAAGACCATCATTGTAGATGTATTAGGTAAGTTGCAGTTAAAAAAAAAAAAAAGTTGTGTTTGTGTTACAATTTGTGCATTATCCATTGTAAGTGGCATTATAATATCACATGTAAATAATTTTGCCTTTATTTATATGATATAAAATTTATGAAATTTACATAATTTCCTGGAGTAACGTTTCAGTGACGTGAAACTTCTCATTTCTCCTTTTGCAGATGTTCCTGGACCAGTTTGCCAGCCATTCCAGACTGAAAATCTAACAACTGACTCATGTAAGCTGACATGGTTCTCTCCTGAGGATGATGGAGGCTCAACAATAACAAATTATATAATTGAGAAACGTGAAGCAGATCGTAGAGGATGGACTCCCGTGACATACAATGTAACAAGGCAAAATGCAGTAGTGCAAGGACTTATAGAAGGAGTGGCTTACTTCTTCCGTATTGCACCAGAAAATATTATTGGCATGGGTCCATTTGTCGAGACTCAACGAGAAATTGTTATTAAAGAACCAATGTGTAAGTTAGCAAAACTGTTTGTTTGTTTGTTTTTTAATTATTCCTTCTGTTACCTTAAAATGTAACATGATGTTTTCTTTTGTATATAGCTGTACCTGAGCGTCCTGAAGATCTTCAAGTAACTGCAGTTACAAAAGATTCAATAAGCCTAAGCTGGAATCCTCCCAAATACAATGGTGGATCTGATATCACAATGTATATACTGGAATGCCGCCTTATTGGCAAAGACAAATTTTATAGAGCCACAAAAGAAAAGCTGCTAGGAAGGAAATATGTCCATGATGGTCTGAAGGAAGGTGACACATATGAATACCGTGTCAGTGCTGTCAACATTGTTGGACAAGGCAAACCGTCCTTCTGCACTAAGCCAATTACTTGCAAAGATGAACTAGGTATGATGTCTTCTTTTAGTTAATTTTATTTTAAAAAATTGCTTTGAATTTTTTTGATTAATATTTCTTTTTCTTTGGTTGCCAGCTCCACCAACAATTGAACTTGATTTCAGAGATAAACTGACTGTAAGAGTTGGAGAAGCATTTGCAATGACTGGTCGGTACACAGGCAAACCAGCTCCTAAGGTTACTTGGTTCAAAGATGAAATAACAGTTAAGGAAGATGATCGCACAAAGATCAAGACCACTCCAAACACACTCTGCTTGGGAATTCTTAAATCTGTAAGAGAAGATTCAGGCAAATACTGGGTGATTGTTGAAAATAGCACTGGAGTGAGAAAGGGACTCTGTGAAGTGACTGTTGTTGGTAAGAATAACACATCAAATATTATGTAAAACACATTATAAAATTATGAAGCAAGTTTACCTGAAAATTATTGTTCCGCTAAATGCTTTCCTGTATCTCCCTTTTGTTTTTATTAGATCGTCCACAACCCCCAATTGGCCCTGTGATGTTTGATGAGGTTCATAAAGACCACATGGTTGTTTCATGGAAGCCTCCTCTTGATGATGGGGGTAGTTCAATAACCAACTATGTCATTGAGAAGAGAGATACTAACAGAGATCTCTGGATGCCTGTAACTTCAGCAACCACCAAAACAACCTGCAAGGTTCCCAAACTGATTGAAGGAAGGGAATACATCATTCGCATCTGTGCAGAAAATACATATGGCATCAGTGATCCTCTATTGTCAGATGAAATGAAGGCCAAGGATCGCTTCAGTATGTTACCATTTACATCATTAATATTCGCTTATGTACTAATATAATATAATTTTTTATATCAGAAGATATAATGCAATTTTACTTAAATTAATTTTTATTCTGTGTAGGAGTTCCAGAGGCACCTGAGCAACCACTTGTCAAAGAAGTTACGAAAGAGTCTGTTCTACTCTTATGGAATCGACCCCGTGATGGTGGAAAACCTATATTTGCCTATATTGTAGAAAAGAAGGAAACTATGGCCAACAGGTGGACAAAAGTATCAAGAGAGCCTATTTATCCAGACACACAAGTCAGAGTAACAGACCTTCTGGAGGGATGTGAATATGAATTCAGAGTATCAGCAGAGAATGAAGTTGTGTCGGTGATCCAAGTCCACCATCTAAACCAGTGTTCGTCAATGATCCAATAGGTAAGAGAATAATGTTATTATTTCAGCCAACCAAACTATAATTTGTGTTTCTAACATTTTCTTTGGAAATGTTTAGGTGTCACATTTTTTTAGTTTTTCACACATCTACTTACCCCAAAAAACATGACTGAATAAGAACTGCATTTGCAGTTGTTTAAAATACTTTTTACAAGATACCTATGTAATTTTATATCTGTTAAAACTATTTCATTACAATTTTAAATTAACAATTTAAAATGTTGTTATCAAATTTCTATTTTCCTTTTTAGTGAAACCAAGCCCTCCAGTCAACCCAGAAGCCATTGACAAGTCCAAAAATTCAGTTGATCTGTCCTGGCACCCTCCAAGGCACGATGGTGGAGGCAAAATAATTGGTTACCTTGTTGAATACCAAAAGGTTGGTGAGGAGGAATGGAAGAAATCTAACCATGCCCCTGATGGCTGTCCTGATACAAAACATAAAGTAGTGGGACTCACAGAAGGTGACACATACAAATTTAGAATCAAGGCAGTGAATTCTACTGGGGAATCTGAACCTGCCTATGTCCGAGACCCAGTGCAAGTTAAAGACAGACTCGGTGAGATCTTAACTTAAATGAAACAACTAGCTGTTAAATTTCCTATAGTGCTTTAAAATACTAACACATACATGTTAATTACAGAACCTCCTGAGCTGATAATTGATGCTAACATGGCACGAGAACAACAAGTTAAAGCTGGAAACACTATTGCACTCAGTGCTGTAATCAAAGGAATGCCTTTCCCCAAAGTCACCTGGAAGAAGGCAGACAAAGAAGTGCCTACAAAGGCTGATATTGTGGTCACACCTGTTGGAAGCAAGCTTGAAATTCGCAACTGTGTCAAGGAAGATGCAGAGGTTTATTCTCTCACAGTAGAAAATGAAGCAGGCTCTAAGACTGTTGAAGTAAAAGTTATTGTACTTGGTAAGATATAGTGATGTTATGTCTCATCAATTCAAATAAATAAAGTAATAAAGAATAAGTATTAACTAAGTTTACATTTTATATTTCAGATAAACCTGGTCCACCAAGGAATCTACAAGTAAGTGAAATTAGGAAAGATTCTTGCTATCTTACCTGGAAAGAACCCGAGGACAATGGTGGCTCTGTTATTACCAATTACATTGTTGAAAAGCGTGATGTTGCCAATCCTCGTTGGGTGCCTATCTCAACTACATCTAAGAAACACAGTATTATGGCCAAACACCTGATGGAAGGCACACAGTATATGTTCCGAGTTGCTGCAGAAAACCAATATGGACGAAGTTCTTACATTGAAACACCAAAACCAATAAAGGCCATTGATCCAATTTGTAAGTATTGTGTTAAATTTGTCTTTTTAAAAATTAAAATTATTCTACTAGAAATATTGTGATTTTTGCAATGTTACAAACATTTGTATCTATTGTTCAGATCCGCCTGGGCCACCAAAGAACCTTCATCATGTAGATGTAGACAAGACTGAGGTATCTCTTGCTTGGAACTATCCAGACCGTGATGGTGGTTCTGAGATCACTGGATTTGTAGTTGACTATCAGGAAGATGGGGCAGAGGACTGGATCAACTTCAAGACTGTCTCTATACCGGAGTGTATTGTCACTGGTCTGACCAATGGAAAGATATACAAATTCCGTGTTAGAGCTCAAAATATTGCAGGACTGAGCCGGCCAGACACAACTGTACCAATAGAGTGTCAAGAAAAACTGGGTAATTATTATCATTATTATTATAAAAAATATATGTATTATTATTATTTTGCAATGTTGAACACAATTTAATTTTATATCTTTAATTGCAGCTGCTCCAACCATTGAAGTTGATGTCAAGTTAATCGAAGGTCTTGTAGTCAAAGCTGGTACAACTGTAAGACTTCCTGCCATTATTAGGGGAATCCCCACTCCAACTGCAAAATGGGTGACTGACAGTACAGAAATCAAATCAGAAGGCAACTACAAAATTGACACTGACAGTTTTTCAACTGTGCTTACCATTAAGGACTGTACACGAAAAGATACAGGAGAATATTTACTGACAGTATCAAATGTTGCTGGAAGCAAAACAGTAGCTCTGCATCTAACAGTTTTGGATGTCCCTGGGCCACCAACAGGTCCATTAAATATCCTGGAGGTTACACCAGAATACATGGTTATCTCCTGGAGGCAACCAAAGGATGATGGTGGAAGTGCAGTAATGAACTACATTGTGGAAAAATGTGAAGGCAAGAAAGAGACATGGGGAATAGTTAGCTCTGGAAGCACTCAAACTAAAGCAAAGATTCCACGACTCCAGAAGGGTTATGAGTATACTTTCCGTGTTAGTGCTGAAAATAAGATGGGTATTGGTAAACCTCTAGAGTCAAAACCAACTGTTGCCAAACATATGTTTGACCCACCATCTCCACCAGGAAAGCCTATAGTATCCGACATTACTGAAAATGCAGCAACAGTCTCATGGACCATTCCTAAATCTGATGGTGGCAGTCCAATTAGTGGCTATATTGTTGAAAGAAGAGAAGTATCTGGGAAATGGATCAGAGTAAACAAAACTCCAGTGCTTGATCTTAGGTTCCGTGCCACTGGTCTATACGAAGGCAACACCTATGAATTTAGAGTGTTTGCTGAAAATATTGCTGGACTAAGTAAACCATCTCCTATATCTGATCCTATAAAAGCTTCTCGCCCTATAACTCCACCAGGTCCACCTATAAATCCCAAGCTTAAAGACAAGAGCAGAGAAACTGCTGACTTGGTATGGACAAAACCAACCAGAGATGGAGGCAGCCCCATTTTAGGATATGTGGTGGAGTGCCAAAAATCAGGATCAGCTCAGTGGAACAGAATTAACTCAGATGAACTAATCAAACAATGTGCTTTCAGGGTTCCAGGTCTGATTGAAGGGAATGAATATAGATTCCGTATATAAAAGCAGCAAATATAATAGGGGAAGGCGAACCTAGAGAACTCCCAGAATCTGTTATTGCCAAGGACATTCTTCACCCACCTGAAGTTGATCTTGACTTGACCTGTCGTGACTTACTAACTGTAAGAGTTGGCCAAACAATCAACATTACTGCTCGTGTTAAGGGCAGACCTGACCCAGATATTACATGGTCTAAGGATGGCAGAGTAGTCACTAAAGACAATAGGACTGAAATGACTCAAGATTTCCCTCCAGTTGGCTTACACATAAAATCAGCAGTAAGGGCAGATCATGGCAAATATACCATTGTGGCTAAAAACAACAGTGGTCAAGCCCAGGGTGTGATTGTTGTCAATGTACTTGACAGACCTGGTCCTTGTCAGAACCTTAAGATAAGTTATGTTACCAAAGATTCTTGCATGGTTGCCTGGGAAAACCCACAAGATAATGGTGGTTCTGAGATAACTAACTATATTGTAGAATACCGAGAACCAAGTCAAAGAGGATGGTATGTCATCTCTTCTGATCTTACAAAGAGGTTGATAAAAGCATCTCTCATTGAAAATCATGAATATTTCTTTAGAGTTTGTGCAGAAAACAAGGTTGGTCCTGGTCCAGTTGTTGAAACCAAGACACCTATCTTGGCCATCAATCCAGTAGAAAAACCTGGTGAACCGGAGAACCTTCACATTGCTGAAGTGGGCAAGACCTTTGTTTTCCTGAAATGGAGACGACCAGATTATGATGGTGGCAGTCCCAATCTATCATATCATGTTGAAAGAAAACTGAAAGATTCTGATGAATGGGAAAGAGTCCATAAAGGTAGCATCAAGGAGACTTCTTACCTTATAGATAGATGTAGTGAAAACCAGTTATACCAATTTAGAGTTCAGACCAAGAATGAAGGAGGTGAAAGCAACTGGGTAAAGACAGCTGAAGTTTTAGTGAAGGAGGAATTATTGAAACCTGCACTAGATTTGAAATTAACTGGAGTCCTAGTTGTGAAAGCTGGAGAAACAATAAGAATTGAAGCTGGAGTAAGAGGAAAACCACAACCAGAAATTGCTTGGATAAAAGACAAAGATACCACAGATATTGCAAAATCTCCTAGGCTTAAAATTGAAAATGGATCAGATTACTCCAAATTTATCCTTGAGAAATCTAGGCGATCCGACAGTGGCAAGTTTGTTATCACAGCCACAAACCCTGCTGGAAGTTTTACAGCACATGCTTCTGTAAATGTTCTTGATGTGCCTGGAGAAGTAAGAAATCTGAAAGTTTCTGATGTATCAATTGACAGATGTACACTCAGCTGGGATGCACCAGAAGATGACGGTGGATGTGAAATACAAAACTATATTTTGGAGAAATGTGAGAGCAAGCGAATGGTCTGGTCTACATATTCTGCTTCCGTGATTCTCACTCATGCGCACGTCACTCGTCTGATAGAGGGAAATGAATACATCTTTAGAGTGCGTGCTGAAAATAAATTGGGTACTGGTCCACCCACTGAAACCAAACCAATTGTTGCTAAAACAAAATACAATAGGCCTGGACCTCCTGAGCCTCCAGAGGTCACCAAAGTAAGTAAAGAAGAAATGACAGTTGTCTGGAACCCACCAGAATATGATGGTGGCAAGTCTATCACTGGATATATTCTAGAAAAGAAAGAAAAGAGATCAATGAGATGGGTTGCTGTAACTAAGAGTGCCATCCCAGAAAGACGTCTGAAAGTCACAAATCTTATCCCAGGACATGAATACCAATTCCGCGTGAAAGCAGAAAATGAAATTGGTCTGGGAGATCCAAGTGGACCATCAAGACCTGTAGTTGCAAAAGACCCAATAGGTAATTTGTAGTTTAGTTTTAAAGTTTGTTTTATTCACTCCTTTTTTGTTTAAAGGCAAGTTTTAAGGTGCTCATCACTGTTGTTTATTTTGCAGAACCTCCTGGCCCTCCAACAAATCTAAAGGTCGCCGATAGTACCAAGACCTCCATTACTCTGGGATGGGGAAAACCTGTGTATGATGGTGGTGCTCCAGTCATTGGATATGTTGTAGAAATGAGGCCTAAAACTGAAGTTAAGGACAAGGATCCAGAAGCTGGATGGAAGAGACTGAATGTTGCAGCTCAGTTGATCCACACACAGTTTACTGCCACCAGCCTTGATGAAAAGCAAGAATATGAGTTTAGAGTTTCTGCACAGAACCAAATTGGCATTGGAAGGCCTGCTGAACTTAAAGAGGCTGTGTCACCTAAAGAAATACTTGGTAAATATTGTTTTCACAAAATCATTGCAAAAATATCATATTTACTGTAGAGTGATTATATCAATTATGATTATTGTCCTTTTCACAGAATCTCCTGAAATTGAACTGGATGCCAGTATGAGAAAGTTGGTCACTGTTAGAGCAGGTTGTCCTATCAGACTGTTTGCAATGGTGAGAGGAAGACCATCACCTAAAATTACCTGGAGGAGAATGGGTATTGATAACGTTGTCAGGAAAGGACAAGTTGACATTCTTGATACCATGGCTTTCTTAGTAATCCAAAACTCTACACGTGATGATTCAGGCAAATATTCTTTGTCACTTGTCAACGCTGCTGGAGAAAAAGCAGTGTTCGTCAATGTTAGGGTACTTGGTAAGTAAATCAATTAAAACAATATTAAATAAATACACTTGTTTTGGTGCATTGAGGTAATGGGTGTTTTATTTTTGGTCTATAGACACTCCTGGACCTGTGGCTGACTTTACATTCTCAGATGTCACAAAGCTGTCATGCCAGCTCTCATGGGTACCTCCAGAAAATGATGGTGGAAGCCCTGTTACACACTACATCTTAGAAAAGCGTGAGGTTGACAGAAAGACATGGGCAAAAGTGGTGGGAGACTGGAAGAAAACTAGTTTTAAGGTTGCCAATCTTGTACCTGGAACTGAATACTTCTTCCGAGTTACAGCTGTCAATGAATATGGTTCTGGTGTTCCAAGAGACACTCCTAAAGGTGTACTTGCAACGGATCCAATAAGTAAGTACTGCAAATGTAGTATTCAATATTTCTATACTAAAATAAGACCTAGCAAATTTCAGTTTTACTGATTTTGGTTAGTTAAATCACATTTCTATCCTTCTTTGAGGAAATACAGTTTCTTACCCAGGAACTTTGGCAGTAATATCTCTGTTCGTGACATAATAAATCTGCACATTTCTCATAGTAACATTACATAGGGTCCTTTCTACCTTGTTAGTTGTTAAATGTATGATATAAACCAGGGATCTCCAAACTTTTCAAACAAAGGGCCAGTTTACTGTCATTCAGCCTTTAGGGGGGCCGGATTGTGGCCAGTGGGGGTAGAAAATGTCCCCGGTCTGGCATCAGTGAGAATACATATTGCCTCAGGATTGTTGGTTAGTAAGAGGAAGAGTAATGCCCCATCATTAGTATCAATCAGAGGAATAGTGCCTCATATCATTGGGAGGTATAGTGCCTCAAGGGCCGGATAAAGGCTAGCAAAGGGCCACATCTGGCCCTTGGGCCGCTGTTTGGAGACCACTGATATAAATAATATATATAATTCAATCACAGGTGTGTTAACTATAACTCATAGTTTATAATTAGCTCAAACTTGCAGTTTGGATTACCAAAGAATCTCAAAAGATACAAAAAGCCAGCAGAAAATTTAGCTTATGAAATTCTGCAAACATATATCACTTTTGCATGAACTAACACTTTACATGAACTTGTAGTGATTTCCTTGGACCCATTAACAGCCTACATTTGTATCTAACCATTTTCAACCCAAAACATAGCCTCTCCAAATTATGCTCGCTTGTTGGCTTATTCTTAGGTCCTAATGATGGTGAGGACCTATCTTACAGAAGGGGGTATAAGTGAAGGGTCTGCTGTGGTGTTGAATAGGTTTGGTGTACAGAGGATTGATTTACAAATTGCTAAGTAAATTTTTTTTGCATAGCAGAACAAACCAGCATTAAGACCAAAGGATGTGATCAAATCAGACTGAATCAATGTCATTACAGGTCCTGACAAACCAATTCAAACTCTTCACTACTTGTGTTTAAGATAAATATTAATATTGTTAGGAATTGAGAATAATTAATATTATTAATGCATTCCTGTATTCTTATTTGCATTAATGTTTTACCTGTTTAATTCAACAGGTGAGCCAGATCCACCTAAGAAGCTTGATGTTACAGAAATCACAAAGAACAGTGCCACACTGGCTTGGCTTCCACCCCTGCGTGATGGTGGTGCCAAGATTGATGGCTACATCATTAGCTACCAAGTTGAAGGACAACCTGAGAACAACTGGACCCAATATTCTGTTGTAAAAGATCTAAATATTGTGGTTGTTGGACTTAAAGAAGGCACAAAGTACAAGTTCAGGGTGGCAGCCAGAAACTCTGTTGGTGTGAGCTTGCCAAGAGAAGCTGAAGGAATGTTTGAGATTAAAGAACAGCTTTGTAAGTTATTTGTTCCTTATGATTTACCATTTTGATGTGAATGCATCGTTAAAAAATAAGTTCACCTTTCTGAACATGTTACACCCATATTTAAGGTGCAAAGTGTAACATGTTCAGCATCCACTACCTCACCCCCAAAGGGACCTTCTCCTCACACCTGGTATTATTTTATTTGCAAAAAATGTTTTATATTTTTTAAAGGTGAACTTAGCCTTTAATGTAAGAATTTTAGGCTGAATAATCAACCATTTAGGTTATAATGTAGAAATCTGCTTAGTATATGAATTTATTTATTTATTTACAGTGCCACCTAAGATCCTAATGCCGGATCAGATCAGCATCAAAGCAGGACAGAAATTAAGAATTGAAGCCCATGTTTATGGAAAACCAGCACCTGGCTCTAAATGGATGAAAGCAGATGTTGCTGTCATTCCATCAAGTCGTTTGGCTGTACACAAAGGACAAAATTCCACTGTGCTTATAATAAAAGATGTGACAAGGAAAGACAGTGGATATTACTCACTATCTGCAGAAAACAGCTCTGGTGTCGCCACTCAAAGGATTCGTGTAGTTGTTATGGGTATGTATGAGTTTAGTTAGGCCTGATATTCATCACTGAAATCAGATACAAAAGAGATCACTAATATGTTGTTGGTTTTCTACAGACATTCCAGGTCCACCAGAACCACCATTTGAGATTTCTGAGATAGATTCTGATGCCTGCACACTTTCATGGCACTTGCCTCTTGAAGATGGTGGTAGCAACATTACCAACTACGTAGTTGAAAAGTGTGACGTAAGCAGGGGAGACTGGATCACAGCTGTTACATCAGTTACCAAAACTAGCTGCCGTGTTGGAAAACTCATCCCAGGACAAGAGTACATCTTCAGAGTCCGTGCTGAGAAACCGCTTTGGAGTATCAGAGCCAATTATATCTGATCGTGCTGTTGCTAAATTTCCATTTGGTATGTAAACAAACCAACCTTTACTACTGTATTGAAAGCACCAGCCCGTCTTGAAATACCTACCATTTAAAAGTAGAAATATTAACCCACATTAAAAAATAATTTAAGCTGTGTATTATAGTATTTCACGTCATAGTATATTAATCAAAGGTTGCAGTTGTGGAACTTTTCTGACATTCTTCATTGCCTTCAATATGTTGCTTAATTCTTACATGCTTCACAAAGATACAAAGCAACCTTCCACATTTAATTATAATAAAATGTAAATTAAACTTTAAATTAAATGTAAAGTATCAGTTTTTTATTTTTTCAGACGTTCCCAGCGAACCAAAGAATGCTCGTATTACCAAGGTTAATAAAGACTGCATATTTGTTGCATGGGATAGACCTGACAATGATGGAGGAAGCCCCATTACAGGTTATGCTATAGAACGTAAGGAAAGAAATAGCCTTCTGTGGGTGAAGGCCAATGACACTGCTGTGCGAACAACAGAATATCCATGTGTTGGAATGATTGAAGGTTTGGAGTATACTTTCAGAATATCTGCTCTAAACAGAGCTGGATCAAGCAAACCCAGCAAGCCCACTGAGTATGTCACTGCAAGAACACCAGTTGGTATGTACAACATGTATTGCAAAATTATGTTATCCCCATCAAACTGCCAATTTTATTTAAAATATCTTAAAAATAATGTTAAATTACAGATCCACCTGGAAAACCTGAAGTTGTTGATATCACAAGAAGCACTGTGTCCCTTGTATGGACAAGACCAAAGCATGATGGTGGAAGTAAAATTGTCGGCTACCTTGTGGAAGCATGTAAACTTCCTGGTGAAAAGTGGGTGAAGTGCAACACTGCTGCTTCTCAAGTTCCAACAGAGGAATTTACTGTTACTGATTTGGAGGAGAATGAGAAATACCAGTTCAGAGTAACTGCCAAGACTGCCATCAACATCAGCAGGCCATCTGAACCATCGGATCCAGTTGTCATACAGGCAGAAAATGGTATTATTCCATTTACATTTCTCTAAGCAAAAGCAAACAAATGTGGCTCTGACTGAAGAAAAGTATATAGCATCAGACATGTACTGTATATCACTTATACCATCTTTAAAAAATGTTCTATCTAAGACATTAATAAACTATCATAAGATAACACAACATAAACTGCCATAATCAAGTATTTCAAAACAATTCAAATCAAACCCCAAAAAAATAGTTTAGCGTTTTCTGATTTTGACTCGTTAATCTTTTTTCTTTTCAGTTCCCCTAAGATTGACCTCACTATACAGATGAAATCCCTGATCACTGTCAAAGCAGGAGCAAATGTATGTCTTGATGCTCAAGTATTTGGTAAGCCAATGCCAACAGTCTCCTGGAAAAAGGAGGGGGAAGTTGTAAAACCTGCTGAAGGTGTTAAAATATCATCCAAGAGGAATCTCTTCCTTCTGGAATTGTTCAGTGTTAACCGCAAGGAAACAGGAGAATATGCTATTGTGGCTGAAAATGCCAGTGGCTCCAAATCTGCAACTATCAAGCTCAAAGTCTTAGGTATGTGCATGTTACCTGTTTTAATTATCACACTATATTTTAAAAAATATGAATTCCATTCACTAACTACCTTACAACTGTAATTTGACCACAGAACATCTTTGTACTGGTTTTGTATTCTTAATATTTTGCAGTGTGTCCATTGCACACAAACCCCAAGGCAGATGGGGTCCATTGTGCACTCACTGCACACATTATTCATGGCTGCAACTCAGAGGAGATCCATTCTCTGCATGCCAGCCATGGCCATGCCAACTTGGGAACTGCACAATGTGGATGGGTGGGGATTATCATCAGCAACAATACACACCATTCTTCTGGTGTGGCTGACCTGCTGTGAATATGGGGAGTGATGCTACAACAGAAAGAACCCCTCTACGACAGCACTGTATTCCCTGACAATCAGCCTTGAAGGGAGGGTGATGTGTACTAATGATAACAGTAATGACAGGCTCTGATGAGCTCTTCTGGCTTGATTAGCACAGGCTGCACACTCTGTATGCTGTTAATAATCCTGAGTCATCTGAAGCACTGGCTGATTAAGTTTGTCCGTGTGCCTTAACACTTTTCTGCATGTGTACACTTTCTACTTTCGTCCTCCTCTGATACACTACAGTGTACAATATTTTACCGTGTTTGTCTATAGACACTTTGCAGGTCTTTCTTTTGTTTTAAAAAGCAGTTTTATTACTTGAGGTGTCCTTGGAGATTTTAAACTGATCCTGTTAGGACTCGTTCACACTTGACTTTATTTCTAACTCTTGCCAAACTCCCCTATATCATTTGACAGGCGTTAGACAGGTGTTTGGGAAGCGTTTTTAACGCTCCCCAAACACCCCATGCGCGGTTTTGAGGCGGGTGATAGGCGTTTACCAAGCATTAAAACCACACCACAAATGCCTATACTGAAGTTAAATGGTATTAACGCTCCGCAACCGCCTCGCAAACGCCTGCCAGGCGGTTGCTGAGCAGCACCACAGACTTGAATGGGAGAGTTCAACTCCTCCTGGCTGGACACGAGGCGTCAGTTTTGCCGCGACGCAACACTAACACTTCAGTGTGAACAGCACTGTGTGCTGCCATGTGCAGAATTTTCATAGATGTTTGAGAAGCCCTAAAGTCTGTCTGACGCCTGCTGACAAAGCTAGTGTGAACTGAGCCTAACTCTAAGGGTGTGGGATGCTGGTTTGGAGTGACTGACTAGTGGTCAGGATTATTTTAATTTAAAGGGGTCATTTACACCACATTGTAAGTGCTTTTACATTGTGCTGTACATTTTCTGTTCCAATCTGTCTCATTCTGTACACTGTACTGTATGTTCCTTATACCACACTACCTTATTATATACTCTGCACTGTACGTTTCCTATTCCACAATTCCATATTGTGTACATTGTGCTGTGCATTCCCTATTCTGCAACATCTCATTCTGTTCACTGCTCTGTACATTCCCTATTCTGCACCGACTCATTCTGTATGCTGTGCTGTACATTCCCTATTCAACACTGCCTCATTCTATACTACGAAAGTCATCTCAGATTCTATTTGACTACACCACTTTAGGCCATGCCCAATATTCAATGCAATGCAAAACTTGCCCAATTATTTGCTGTGGTGTGAATTTTCTTTTTTATGTGGAAGAGTCCCCAGCTTATTATCTTGAACACAGGCCCACTGCATTCATAAAATGCTCTTACTTTTGTTTTTCTCTTGTTTTATATGAATTTAATTTCAATTATGTTAATGTTTAATGAATTTTAAATGCCCCTTGGATGGGCATAGTTAATGTAATACTTTTTATATCTTAGACTTCAGTTAATCAACTAAAACTACAGATACTGTATGATGGCTGCAAAATGTCAAGACCTCTATATGTTTATTTTTCTTCAGATAAACCTGGACCTCCTGCTTCTGTTAAGATAAACCATATGTATACTGATCGGGCAATGCTTAGCTGGGATCCTCCACTTGAAGATGGTGGTTCTGATATTACAAACTATGTCATTGACAAGCGTGAAACAAGTCGTCCTAATTGGGCACAAGTGACTGCTAATGTGCAAACCACCAGTTGCAGTGTGGAGAAGTTGATTGAAGGACATGAGTATCAATTCCGCATTTCCGCTGAAAACAAATATGGTGTTGGAGATCCTATCCTAACTGAGTCTGTGATTGCAAAGAACCCATACGGTAAGACTTATATTACTGTATAATGTTAAATGTATACTGAGGTTTTCAAGAGCATTTTCATTTGTAGTTTAAGTAGTAAAAGTTCCTTTTTTTATCTATCTCTCATTTCAATTTAACATTTTATTCTTCTTCACAGATGTACCCGGACAGTGTGATCCACCAATAATAAGTAACATTACAAAGGATCACATGACTGTAAGCTGGAAAGCACCAGCTGATGATGGTGGATCTCCAATAACTGGATATATGCTTGAAAAGCGTGATACAAAATCTTTCAACTGGACCAAGGTAACCAGGAAACCTGTAATTGAAAGAACAGTAAAAGCAACAGGACTTCAAGAAGGTACAGAGTATGACTATAGAGTGACTGCCTTGAACAAAGCCGGACCAGGCAAGCCTAGCAACGCATCGAAGGCAGTAATTGCTCTTGATCCTCAGTGTAAGTTGTGACCTCCATTGGATTAAATCCAAATTATGATTTTGTATTGAGTGACAGTCTTTTAAATGTTTGTATGTATTTTATAGATCCACCTGGACCACCTGCATTCCCCAAGGTTATTGACACAACTCGTAGCAGTATAAGCCTTTCCTGGAGCAAACCTGCATATGATGGTGGCAGCCCCATAATTGGTTATCTGGTTGAAGTTAAACGAGCAGACACAGATAACTGGGTGCGATGCAACTTGCCGAAAAAACCTGCAGGACACCCATTACACTGTTACTGGCCTGATGGAAAGCACTGAATATCAGTTCCGTGTCTCAGCAGTGAATAAAATTGGATACAGTGATCCCAGTGAAATTCCAGACAAACATGCTGCTAAAGACATCTTAAGTAAGTACAGTTTTTATTTAGAGAGTTCACTTTATTTTGTTACTGCTTGCATGAACATAATGTAATTTCTTTTCTTTAATCTAACAACAGTTGCACCTGAAGGAGAGCTTGATGCTGAACTGAGGAAAGCTCTTGTGCTCCGTGCTGGTGTTACAATGAGGATCTATGTACCTGTTAGAGGGCGCCCAACTCCAAAGATATCTTGGTCTAAAATGAATGCAAACATTAAAGAGAGGCAGGGGCTTGATATCAAGACTACAGATCATGACACCTTCGTGCGTTGTGAAAATGTCAACAAGTATGATGCTGGCAAATATATCTTGACACTAGAGAACAGCAGTGGTGTGAAGACATATACTATTGTTGTCAAAGTGCTTGGTAAGTAAACAATAATGACTGTTAAATTAATGGTTTAGATTTAGGAGGTACAAACAATGTGGCACAAAGTAAGGTAAAAGTGCTTCTTAGAGAATAACACTGGGGAGAAATAGCATATCAAGTATATGCTATGTCCACATTTAAAATGTTTTCCTAGCTTTCCACTGATCTTACCAAGCCTTTCTCAACTGGGGTGCCGTTGGAGGTCATCAGGGGTGCTGTGGCATCCTGGAACAGAAAGGCATTCAGATCCGACCGAGCTCCTGCTCCTCAGTCAAACATCAGTAGGTCAGTCAGCACAGTTATGTGCAGAGCAGAGGAAGAGAAGGCATCTTTCAGAGTCCTAAGCTCTCAGCTTCCCACTACAGGGCAATACCCAACAGTGCAGTACCCAACAAAAAGTGCAGGTACAGTAGTGCAGGTTTTAAAAATGGTGTGTGTGTATGCATGTATGTATGTGTGTGTATATATATGTTTATATGCACGTGTGTTTGTATGTATGTACTTATGTTTCTTTAAATCTTGAAACCCTAACCTTTTACAATCAGAACTGCTTTTTTAGGGATTGTTCACAATAGCAGCAAGGACTGCTGCGCCTGTGAAAAGTGAACCATGCTTAGACTACTTTTCAGAGGCATTTGATAGGTGGTGAAAAGGCAATATGTTACCTCCTGAGCACCTCTTTTAACCCCCTAAATGCAGCATCACTGTTCCGCAACCATGGTTGCAGTGCAATCCCATTCGCCTGAGGGTATAATTCCTGTCATGGCCACAGTATGTGTAGGACCTCTGCAGCTAAAGAGGGAGCAAATCTGTATGGTAAAAAGCACGGTTTAACCATGTAGTT